AACTGATTCAAATAGCTATACAAAGAAGGCAAAAATTAGTCATTTTTATTTTTTTTTAAGTATTAATACCAAAATTATGTATTTCAGTTAAGTTAATAAATATTTCTTAAACCAGACGTGACCGAATTTTTTTATTATTTTTTCTGGATAATTCTACCTAAATGAATAACAAAATAACAACTTTCAGCTGGGGTATGAAAACCGTGTAAACTAGTGTTATTAAAAGGAAAGGTTGGAAGATTAACGCGCGCCATTATCTAAGATTATAATTATGAATAGTTTAAAGTTGTTTCTCAGAATTCGTGGTAGAAAATAGTGGGTGATCAGGTACCTAATTAAATTCAGAGATATTTTATGATAGAGTTACTAAGATTCATATCTGCGAACAGATTTTTCGGTCTATGAAAAGTAATAATTAAGACGAAAACATGTTTTGAAATTTACGAGTTTTTCATTAAGTTATCAATTCCTTTTTTGATTTTTACTATAAGATTACCAAACACCTAATGGTAAGCAGTCCCATCCAATCGCAGTTGTTTTTAGAGCTGTTTAAGCTAAGTACCTCGGTTGAGACTTTGAGAGGCTCCAATTTATTAAGAGCATTAGAAATTATCCCCGACTGATACATTCATATTTTTTTGTTTAACATTTTTAGATATAGAGTTAGTTTTAAATCCCTAATAATTCAAACACGTATTCACATAGCTATTGAGCCGATCCATAGAAATCGATCCACGATTTCTGTAGTCCGATCCGTAGTTGTACTACGATCACCTTATTCTCTCGTCGATATATCGTCATTATTGGTTTTTGGATAGAAAAGATCCATTGCTTTGGTTTACCTACTTTGTTTTCGTCTAAAATCACATTTCGTTAATCAATATTTAGCATAGCAAAGCCGTTGAAATTGCTCCACTACAGTTGGAACTACTGAAACAAAATGGAACAAGGTGACATTTTATTAAATGTCATTGAATTCCTTTAAACGTCACATGCGCAGCCGCAGCATGATTCTAATAAAGTATAATTACACATTCGTTATAAAACGAAACGTGAGGGGCAACAAAACCTTGTACAAAAACACTTGTACATCAACATTTTACGACACATTAATGTTATCGAAGAAACGATCGAGCCAGCGACGTGGAAGACTGTTGTTGTATAGAGTTGGGCTCCATGTGTAGGACAAACGTTTATCTTTACATCTTGTCACGGCGATTGTTTTTGATACTAATTAGTGAAAGACATGTGTAGCTTATTTATAACGAAGATAAAAGCCTTGTTCCTTAACGGAGGGTTCTTAGCTACGTCTAATTCGATTAGAAATGTCTCGTGCTTTACTTTAAAATGCAATGCTCGTTGAACTCTTTTGTATCCAAGATTAAAAAGAAATGTTAGTTTTTGTTTCTCCGATGTTATTAATAAAGAATGTGGTATCTGATATCTGTAAATTCCAATTCTGTCCATTAAAATGTTTGCTTCTTGTGTGTCTAATGTTTTAATGTCAGCCGAAAGTCGAATTAAACAATGACATATTTAGACAACGTGGTCGAAGATTTATGAGATTTTAAATATTTAAAATATTTATTAGTAGCTTTTTCCAGTGGCTCCGCTCAGGTATTATTCATTTATCCATCTCTTGGTAACATGGAATTTTCTTTATGAAAGGTACTCTATTCTTTAAAGACAACTCCATAATTAGGAATGTATTCTGTGTCGCGGGGGATTTTACAAACATACATGAAACGGACACAAAGAATACCCAGACTCAGAACAACAGTTTGTGGATCACACAATGTGTCGTCCCATGTGGGGATCGGACCCACAACACTCAGCGTAGTAGTAAAAAGCGTGGCGACCGCTTAAACCACTAAGCCATCCGTTTAGTCACTCTATGTCTTTCTCAGTCTTGTGATGAGACAAAAAACGGTACGGCACTGCATAAACAGACAATCATTGATTTTTAAACTGATTTCTGTTTTAATGTTAACCATTTACCTAATCTGCCTTCAGAAGATCAGTTCGAAGTTTCGAACCAATACACGAATAGTGCCTTTTGTTCTCCAAACGAGGGCAGATTAGGGTCAGTAACATTATCGACCCTATTCTCCTCTATTTGTATGTATTTGTACATATAAATGCCACCATTATATTTATTATCACTTAAATTTATAAAAATACAAATTTTGCCCTATAAATAATTACGAATACTTATCAGCGTAAGTAGTTCTACATTATTAAATTCGAGGTACGGCTTTTATATTGTCATAAATCAACCCAGCAATGAACAACAAATGATTCTATATTTTATTGCTTAGGCTTTACGGTACAAAATGAGAGATCTTATAAGTACGTTATGACGTTTTTAATATTATCTAGCTTTTATAATTGTTTGATATTATTAGCTTTAAATCTTTACGACGTTGTCTACTCGTAGTAATTTGGTTGTTATTAAGATTAAAGGTTATTGTAGATAATGTCTATATTTACTGAAGTAAAATTCAAACTCATCTATAATTGTATGGTCACGAGCAAACCTAGTAAAGAGCCTCGCCTTAATAATGAGCATGTTTGGACTAAATGATATTTCTTTTATACATTGATACCTGAAGAGAATTCTCTGTGCAGAAGGTACAGGTTTAAGCAGATGCGTAAACGCAGAAATGCTACATTTAGAATATATAAAATTTCTATAAAGGAGTGGCAAAAGCTAAAAAATGTTTATTATAATTATGTAAAAAAACTACAGTTGTGCAGTACATATGTTACGGTAACCATATAGTAGTGGTCCCCCGATTTCCACCCAGAACAAATAATTGTGTGATGAGCACGATGATTTTTGTGTATGAGTGTATGAGTGTGTGAGTGTATGGGTGTATTTGTATGTATTTAGTATGTATAGGTATGCATGTATCGCATGTATTTAGAAATATATAAGTGTGTTTATCAGCAGTCTGGTTACCATAGCACAGGCTCTGCCTAGTTTGGAATCAGACGGCCGTGTGTGTGATGTGTAAAGTTAATATTGTTATTATTATTATTCCAGTTAAACCGATAGAACTAACTTGATTTATGTTAGAATAGATTAAAGTTTAAGTAATATGTATGTCTGAATATAATATGGTTTATTACTTAATGTAGAATAGAATAGAATAGAGTAATCTTTATTGTACACCAGTTCAGTACATTATACATACAAGAGTATTCCAAGTTAATGGCATGTACAAAAGGCGGCCTTATCTCTAAAAAGCAATATCTTACAGGCAACCTTTGGACGGACAAATACATAGATTGTAAATAGGTAATTTCATTAGCAGTTTAAGTGTGAAAAAAGTATGCATGTATGCATGCATGTCCGAGTCCTATTCATGGATTTCTTGGTTCAGCCACAATTCATTAATATGCTGTTGGCTATATGGCTGAAAATATATGTATGATAGGTTTTATAGGGTTCTTAATTTCAGGTGAGGTTTAGAAATCTTCCTGGGCCTCGAAGTGTCGTGTCTGTAAAACTAATCACTAAGAAAAAAGTTCCTCCCATCTCTGTCAATGGCAAAAACAAATGTGCCCAATCTGGTGTCTATCTCATTTGATCGAACACTCGGTTTATGATCGACGAGCTACCGAACGCGGCGAAACCTTTGTATTGTCTGTCAATCTGTCCATGGAGACTGAACAAGAAAACTTCATATCACACATTGTGGGAACTATCAAGATCTGAACGCTGGACGGGACTTCAAATATCTTGGGAATTCGTTTTTTGATTTGATTATCATATTTTTGATGCCACAGATAAAAGTTAGTTCTTAGATTTTTTGACTACTATTGATTTATTTATTTTTATATTGTTGAAAGTTTGTTCTCGAGTTATTCTAATTACTTATTAAGAGAAAAAGCTGTAGTCAGTTCGATTCGAGCAACGTCTTAGAGGAGACTATAATTTTTACTCTATACTTTGTATTAAGATAACATTGATTCTTATTTATTATCTACTTTCATAAAATTTATATAGTTTGGGAAAAACCGTTTTTAAAAATTTACTATTTTATTAATATTTTTAGTTAAGTCACTTTTAAGAAGAACAGATATATGTTTACTGGTTTTATAGTTATATGTTTACTTTACTTTTATACACGATTTAAGGTTTTGCCATGCATGCATTTTTTAAGAAAAAAAAATCTATAATCGAAAGTGACTAAATTTTTTGTTAATCTTTTTGTGAACTGTTAAAAAAGGGAAACAATAGTGTGCAAACCCTTCATCGTTTGAAGTGGTTGCAGTTGCGGTGCCTGCGCAGGTAGCGGTTTCGCGTCAAGTACCAGATAAGGGCTCTCTCGCACATGACGGGCGGGCGACTCGTAGACGCGACAGTCTTGTCGCCAATGCGCACGGTTGGCTTTCGTCTTTAGACCGTAGAGATTTTACTTTTAAGTTGTTTGCCCTTTATCTCGGTTTAAAGATTAGCATTTATACATTTTTGACTTTTAAATGTGCGAGTTCCGTCTCGGTAGGCGGGTTGAAATGCCATGACATATTTGTCGCCAATTTCGAATATGACTAAGTTTAATCCACAGTATATATATTTTATAGGTTTTCTCTTTCATCGACAATATCAATTAAAACTGTTGTTTAGATATGACCGCTGTTAACGATCGTCTTTATTCTTTTTTATATATTTTCTAGTACATAAATAAAATACATTCAATTTAATTTAAATTAACTGTTCTTCTTGAATACAGATTAGTCTTTATTGGTTTTTGATCTAGATAGTTTATGGTTTAGGAAGTCTTAGAACCGTTAAATGGCCACTTATTTTATGACACTTTATTCAAAAGACCCGACCAACCGGGTTTAGAAATGTTTTCTTTTGTGAAAAAGACATCGTTTCTGGCTTAAGGAAAAAAATGAATTTACTTTTTATATAATTCAGGATTTAGTTTATCACATGTTTTGCCATATTTGTACTTAATTTTACAATGACCTCTATTTCCTTGTTCTAGATGGTGCTCACGTCAATGCACAAGTACCGTCCTCGAGTGCTGATCGTCCGCGCTCGTGATGCGGCTGCCCTCGCGTGGGGAGCGCCGCATGCATCTTTCTCGTTTCCTGAGACTGAATTCATCGCTGTCACTGCTTATCAGGTATGTAATTATAGATTTAATTTGTAACTGCTTTACTCCTCAACAGGTTCGTTTAGAGGCAATTTTAAAAACCTTTAGTAAGCTCAGTTATTTGGTTGCCACCATGATTGACATCAATTATCGTGTGAGCTTGTTTAACAATTGTCATCTAAAAATCGTGGTCAATCGACTTAGATGTAAAACTAAAAAAAACCTATTTCTTTATAACGTTATTGAACTAAACGTTGGTATTTTTTCTTACACATTCGGTAGTCAACCCAGGTTCTTATAAAGTCCTGTAATAACATTCACGCTATTAAACAGTTTCACCTAAAACGCAGATATTATCTTTACAAGGGGATTCCTTATATGATATGATCGCAACGGATTCCGGGAATACTTCCTACGATTCTTCGAAAATAGCACATACTGCCTATGAAATTAGTTTTTTTGCTCGACGTAGGCGCCAAAGCTTTTACTAACGCATGCTCTGGTGCCAGTTAGAAACAAAAAAAAACACAGATTGCGACGATCGGAGAGCGGTCATTGTGTAAGTTCTGTTAGGAAAACAATACCGACCGACTAATTTGGCGTTTTTGTTCGAGCGGTGTATTTGTACGAGCATTGTTAGAATCACTCAGTAACTTCGAAGCCGATGTGCATCGGACTGTGAACTACAGTTATTTCTGAAGAAGCTAAACATTACCGATTGAAGTGGTAATAGAATGATATAATCGAGCAACAATACATGCTCTTCTTTTTTGGGTAAACAATAGGCTGGTCTTTTAGTTCAGTTAGTATCAGTAGTATCAATTGTTTTATATTGGTAGTTTTTCACACAATTGATAGAATGGTATCTCGACTATGCCTAAGACCCCGACTATGCATAATGGCGCTCTATAAAAAAACACAAAGATTACCGTATACTTTTAATTATATTTATTAAATCTGCATCAAAGCTGTACAACCAGAAGGCCTCCTGCTGTTTGTTATCCAACACAAATCTACTGGCTTTAGCGTTCAGCGCACCGTGGCCATCCCTTGCATAATCCACCCAAAGTAATTACGGCACGGCGGCTTTCTTTACCCCCGGCCATCACGTTGACTGCAACGAGGCGCGAAAGTTTTCTCGCGTCCATTTTATCGGAAGCTTTGTGGGATTATCTAACAATAGTCCAGCTAACGGGACCCTACCCTTAACAATAACCGGCGGTGTATCATTGCGCATTATCCCCGGACAAGCGACCGATCGCCGGCTCAACCATTGTTAAGAATTATCAACGAATTAGAAATTACCTTTACAGCCGCCGCTTCTTTATTCGAGAGCGTAACTAGGTGGCACGCTAGTTCAATTACGGCGACACAAAGCCCGTCGTCGCATTTTGTAAACACAATAATGCACATCATCGCTTCAGAGCCCGTCATCGAATGTTTGCTGGTCTCTACTCGATAATTGGAGCCTATCAGTTAGATAAATAAACGAATATTGCTCAGACCCTAATTACACAGTAAAAAAAAACTGGCGACAGTCGCCAATATGTGAAATAGGCACGCAAAAAGTATAAACGACGCAAGTTTGTGAAGTGACGTCACGGGCGACAGGGCGGACTGGGGCGGCGCCCGCCACTCTCAGAGCATAGCTTTGCTAACCAACCGACTTTAAAAGTGCACTTTGTTCTGCTAATAACAGGCTTTTAGCACTCTTCGGTTTTTGGGCACCTTATCGGTTATCTGGAGGTGCAGTGAGTAAACGGCACCCGCCGGCGCCGCCTTATCACAACAAGTAAACAATCACATACAAGTGATTTCACGTATCTCGAATGCACTATTTGCGTTCAGGATTCGCCAGATAACCAGCGCTTGGGACTGTTGATTGCTTACATATTTTAGAATGTCAAAAAAACAAATCGCTTCCAATTAGAGATATGTCTGTCTGTCAATAGTTGTTTTAGAACTGTCGTCGTCACTTATGTATTGAAAAAACTGAAAATTATATTGAGTTTCATGTATGTATGTAGGTACTGTTTTTGTGGTAGGCGCCAAATGTAAGTCGCCTGGAACAGTAGCGCGACAGGCGGGCGGCTAGGCGACATCGACAGTTAGACACGACATGCCATGCTAATTGGCTTGTCGCCAAGTCTTCCACATGTGCGACAATTATCCCTTACAAGCTATTAGCGCCGCCCCAATATATGCGGAAACGGATGTTTAAATTGCATTCGCAGGCAAGATAAGTCGAGTTCCGTGTGACGTGTCGACAAATCTCTGATATGAGATTATCGCTGGTAGGGGATATGCCTCTTATTGTGACATAACATAACCTGGTGTTTATATTATGTAATTTTTTCACTATGAACCATCTGACTTATATTTTGATTTACCTTACAACATTAGAGTAATTCTTCTGTACAGGAATTATGAAGTTTTTAATCTTGTAAATCAGTCTTCCTATTTATAATAAACCACAAGTATATGATTCCTCACTAAAGTAGGAAATCACAGAAAAATATTTTTTATATAATCCAAACTTTATCTTCATGTTCTAATTTTATTTCCTTGTCCACAGAACGATCGTATAACAAAGTTGAAAATTGACAACAATCCCTTTGCGAAAGGCTTTCGAGCGTGCGGTCAATCAAAATGCAAGAGAAAAACATCAGACGCCACAGACAGTAACCCGGAACCTGCCTCTGAGCCCAGCGAGGCCAAACGGTCTTGTTCAGACGCTGCATCATCGTGTTCAGAGGAAGGCAGCTTAAGATCTTCATCACCAAGATCTCCGCCCCTCGTTGAGTCTCCTGCACCTTTAGTTGTTTCTTCAGAGAACATTACTCCACCTCCTCCTACGTTTTATCCACCCGAGTTACCTTACTTGGGTATGCATATGCCAATGCCTCTCGGTCTATGGCCCAGCAGTCCTATGAGTGTGCCTGGTGGATTATCTTGGGGAGCAGGACTGCCCCCCGCTCTACCCCCTCCCCCTGCCCCGCAACCTCCCTGCAGACGCGTCAAGAGTTTTACCATTAGCGCTTTACTTGGAGAAGGTTGATACCTGATGCCTTTTATACATGTTATAAATTTAATCTTGTGTCTTGTAGACATGATATAAAACCTATTTTAGATATAAAAATGTGTAAATAAAACCTACCATTTAAAAAAAATCTAGTAAACAGTGTTCAAGAAATAAATTACTTTTATTATATTTAGTTTATATATATAATCTCAGTTTTATATTCGTAGATAAATAACTTTAAATTCATGTTAATAACCATTGCATTCTGCTTTATTATTACGCACTTTTCGGTTATAGAAGGTTATGAAATTTGTCTTAGACTAGGAACATATTAGTTGCTTTTGTCAATCGTATTCCATAAAATACTCTCACACTTTTTATCCAAGTTTTTTTAAGAGATATTATATTATTTTTATTCCTATTGTTCTTCACAAATTTATATGTGCTTATACATGTAACAGCATTAAGAAATGGTGTCACATGTATAAGGTTTAATTTAATGAAAATGGAAATATTCTGTCAATGCTTTTACCATGTATAAAAAGGATATTCATGACATTTTTTTAAACATAATTTGTTGTGCATACGTAAAATCCGTATTTACCCAAGTTTTTAAATTAATTTAAAATATAAACAAGAATGTAGATAAAATTAGCAAATGAATAAATTGTTTATACATGTGTATATTATACACTTTTATACAAAATATATATTGAACTTTTTAATTGTATAAAAGGTCTCAACTTTTCCTAGGTGCCGTCAAATACTCAGGAAATCACGTATAAAAGGGATATATAAACACTCGACAGGGATATCCGCAATATGTATAAATAATGTTGTAAATAGCTGTTATTTTTTTAATGTAATAATTAAAACCTTCTTTAAGCCTACCTCGTTAGATAAGTAAATAAAATATTATATTGTGATAGAAGTGCCTTAAGGTTGTATAAATCGTGCTTGGTTCATAAATTAATTATGTAGCTTTCTACAAGTGTCAATTTTAGATTACATTTAATTAAAGTGTGTAAAATATACCAATATACCTACTCAATAATGTATTGTTACATTTTTATAACATTTGTTCCGTATTTTTGTATACATACGATAATTTTACATACATACATAGGTAATTATAATTTGTACATAATGTGAATAATATCAGTCAGTTATTTACGTTCAATATATTTTTATATGATCTTATCGCTTGCATTTTATTTTATTGCCCACCTGGTACTTATTACACACTTCACCAGTTAGCACCCTTTGTGTACCTAAGCAAAACAGAAGACAGTGAAAATTACTTATTTATTTGAATAAAAAGCAGGTAGGTCAAGAAATAACGGTGTATCATGAAAGTTTTTTTGACCACTTTTTTTTGGCATGCAAACATAATAATGTCGAAAAAAGACTTAACATTATTAAACAGTAATCAATCAAACGAACTATTGAAATAATGTAAAAACAACTTCTGCAGATATTATTGAAATTAAAGTCATTAATTAAATAACAGTATTGCTCAAGTAACAGAGTAGTCGCTTTCTTTTTAATGACAGTGTCGCCATGTCCGTCTGTCCATTTGTCCGACTACTCGTCTTTCCATGGCTAAAATTAAATACTTATTAGCACTAGAATCATGTAATTTTACTAGAGTACATAGATTAAATACGCTGATAAAATAAAACCTTGAGCTAACATTAGGGTACACGTAAAGTGGATATGAATGGACAGGCCATTTAATAGCATTTTCGACTTCCAAATAAATTTAAAATGCTATCTTTTGATAGAGTTAAGTGTCCCCCCTGTGGATACTGGTGAAACTATTAGCTTGAAACGTAAAAATCATAATGGTAATATATAAGATTTAATGAGAAGTACAACTAACTATCACGGCTAAGATTGTCGTGTTACATTGAGAGTGATAGTCGCCCAACGTAAGAAATGTGAAATCCTTACAAACAATACCTACTTAGAAGAAGTTATTAGAAACAGATAGTAATTAAACTACAGCCACATATGCTGATGTTTTGAATTCGTATGTTTGATGACAACATTACATATAACACAACACACACACATAACGATACATTTTGTCGTCAATATCAAAACTGAAAAGTCTTGAAATAGGTGAAAGAAGTTTTTATTAAAAGAATTCTATACAGGTCTAGTCGTATGCAAGTTAGAAATAAATTGCCAAAAACTATAATAATAATACCTCACACATGCCACGCACGTCCGTCTAATCCCCCAACGCCTGATCACTGCCTAACATTTAAAAAAAAAGATTCAAATAGATAGTTTTTCTTAAAGAATATCCGTCGAGGGCTGCCATCACTTTTTTTTTTTTTTTTTTTTTTTTTTTATTTATTTATTTCTCTTCACAATTAGTTAAGTTACAATATCTTGGAAATAGAACAATTATACATTACAGTACCCGAAACCAACGTGAGAGACTGGTGCCTGATGTAGATTTATTGAAAACTGTATTACAGGTCTTTCACTATTTCAAATTTGAACTAAAATGCAGATATTGTGTGTTATATTATGTCGTCATAAAACATCTTCAATAATTATCAATAATTAATAATAATTATTCATGTTACTATTGAAATGCAAAACTTTAGTTTATTTAATAGCAGCCCCAGAGGATATTCTTTGGTTATTCATTAAGTTCATAGGTAGTTGAATATGTTATTTATTCGTTACATAATCTGGTTAAGTTTTAAATTATTTTGTCCTTTTTCGATTAGGTAAGAAAAAAATATTGGTTGCCTGTAAAGTCGGTATACGGGCGAAAGTTTTACGTGACAACGACTATGTCTGTCTCTCTCGCTCTTAGGCGGGCTAACCATGCCCGAGTGGAAGGGACGCGTGCCTCTCACTCGCTCTCATTGTGAGCGCATAACGTGAGCGGAGCGTAACGCAGTTTCTTGAAGTGTCACCCGGCAAACCAATTTATAAGACGTTGTCACGTCAAAAAAAATTTGCTTTTTATAGTAACAGTGATTTTCGTATTAAGCGGGACCTGATTCTACGTCAAGTATTGGCTCCAGATAAGGGGACTCCTCAAGGGTTCATGTAAATTAAATTGTAAAAGGTTGTTTTCAAGTTCACCATGTCTCCTAGGATCGGAACTAAGTGAGACTATACTCAGTGGCCAAAAGCGCGAGCAAGGAATTTTGTGTGCAACTATGCATTCAGTTATGAGGAATTCTGGTGACTGTAGGGGTGGTTGATGGCTGAATAAGTCGCTTTATAGCCAAGTTACGACAAGTTTCGGGGTAAGGTACCCCGCCGTCGTGTGCTACGCGGACGACACACTCGTGACGGCGCGCGGCAAGACGCACCACGAGGCAACCCTGAGGGCCACGGCTGGGGTTGCCCAAGTCGTTAAGCGTATCCGGCGGCTGGGTCTCGAGGTGGCTCTGCACAAGTCCGAGGCCCTGTTCTTCCACGGGCTTCGGAGGAAGCCGCCTGAGGGATCTAGCCTCACGGTAGGAGGCACTCGCATCGGCATCGAGACCTCGATCAGGTATCTGGGGCTCGTACTCGATGGCCGATGGGACTTCGGATATCATTTCCGAGGTCTGGTCCCCAAGTTGGTTGGGGCAGCGCGTGCGTTGGCGCGGCTGCTGCCCAACATGAAGGGACCCGATGACTCCTGCAGGAGACTCTACTCGGGGGTTGTGCGGTCCATGGCCCTTTACGGGTGCCCAGTATGGGCGGGAGCCCTGAAGGCCAGCAACGTCGCGATACTGCGACGACCGCAGCGAGTGCTGGCCATCAGGATCATAAGGGGGTACCGCACGATCTCCTTTGAGGCGGCGAGTCTCCTGGCCGGAACTCCACCGTGGGACCTGGAGGCGAGAGCCCTTGCGGCTCTGTATCAGTGGCGCAAGGAGGCGCGGGAGTTGGGTCGATGCCCCGAGATTCGAGAAATCGATGACCGGAAATCCCAACTCCGCCAGGTCATCATAGGGGAGTGGAGGGAACGACTCGGGCAACCGAGCGCCGGGCACGCCGTCATCGCGGCGGTAAGACCCGTTATGGAGGATTGGCTCGAGAGGCGTCACGGGACACTCTCATACCGATTGACGCAGGTGATCACTGGGAAGGGATGTTTCGGGGATCACCTGTGTCTGATCCGCAAGGAGCCAACGCCTGAGTGCCACCACTGCGATGGCCAGACCGTGGACACGGCTCTCCACACGCTGGCAGAGTGCCCGGCGTGGGTTGAGCAGAGGCGAGACCTCGTGGCGGCCATCGGAGTGGGAGTTCTCTCGCTCGATAGCCTGATTGCGGCTATCGTGCGGAGCGAGAGTGCGTGGAACTCTGCCGTCTCCTTCTGCGAGCAAGTTATGCTCGCGAAGGAGACGGCGGAGCGGGACCGGGAGAGGTTTAGGACTCTCCCGGCCCGCCAGGCCCGGGAACGGGCCAGGTACCGCAGGCGACTCAGGCGCCGGAGGTCGCAGAATGACCTCCGTCCTCCATAAGCGCAGGCCTGGGGGTGACAGGTGAGGCCATCTGTCACCCTAGCAGAAGCAGGCCGGGGTGGCGGCGAGCGCGTTGCGAAGCGCGCTCGCCTCTAGGGAGCACAGGGAACATGGGGTTCCCACACGGGGGGGTCGTCTACTCGTCTGTAGATGACCCGAGGTATGTCGGGGCACCAGGGACTTCCTTTCTAGGGTATACCTGGTTCCCCGGCTATTAGTACCCGAGACGGCGTGCGGTTTACCCGTTATGAATATTTGTGTTATCTACACTCTGAATGTAGAATTTCATGAATGTAGAATGTACTAAGTTCACATACCTTCTCAGTAAAAAATATTGAATATGTTCAAAGAAAAGTAAAAAAGAAATAAACAAATTAATTAAAAATACAAGCTGCTGTATTTATTAATAAACTAAAAAGTTTTGTAATAATTCAAATCCATAATTTCTTTAAATTATAATAATATACATAATTTATTCATGTATTTATTATCTCCAATGAAACAATAATTGAAAACAAGGGGGTTTAAGTTGGTGTTTGTACTTACTCCTTCAATTGCCAATAAACAAAAACCAACTAAGCGAGCAAAGTAACAAGTTAAAAACAAAACTTAAAGATTTTAAAAGTAATCATCATCATCATCAATGATCAACAGCCTATAACAGTCCACTGCTGGACATAGGCTACAGCTACGGCTAACAGAGGTTTTGGCCTGATAAAAAAAAATTGAAATAAAAAATTGAAATAAAGGTATGATGCGAGATGTGCCTCTTGAACTTATATTTTTAATAAACACATAGGTGGGTATCTAATTAGAATTAGGTACCAAAGTCAAGATTTCTTCAGGGACTTATATCTTATCTTATTTTAGCTTCCATATATTAACTACACAGGTATATCATATTTGAAATAATTTACGTTTTTTAAATTTTGTTCTGCTTCTAGAAAGCACAAATCATAATCGACTTTAAATGTTCAATTAGATTATTATTAGTTCAAGTAGATTATTATTATGTAATAATGTTGCCGTACTTTGGCCTAGTTGTTTTATTTATTAAAGAAGTATGTAGCTGGCTGTTGACACGCTCACTATAAATTATTATTGGTTAACAAATTAAATAATCGAAATGTTTAGTTACCATTTTTTTTCTATAGAAAAACTCAAGTTTTGACTTGGGCGACATAAACAGTCCGACTTAAAAAAATAATGGTCCTCATTTCGTCTTATTTTTTACTACGGCTTACTTCATACCTTGAATGATAAGTAAATCTAAGTATACTACTTACATTTATCGTTAAGTTCATTTAACAGAATGGATGGTTGTAATTCAGATAGCGCTAATGATAAAATAAAGGATGAAAATACCGCTTATTTAAGTTCACCGCAAATTAGACACGTTGTGGTCGATTATCCTTTTTTTAAGTTAACTGAATAAAACTAAGATTTAATTAAATTTGATTTATTTAAAAAAACATTTCTAGGTACGACGACGGGTGCGAGTATATAGACAATGCTATTTCTTGACTATGACTGCACGGATTGCGTAGTGGTTTAAGCGGTCGCTAATCGCTTTCTACTGCGAGTGTTCCTGGTTCGATCCCCACGTGGAACAATACTTTGTGTAATCAACAAATTGTTGTTCTGAGTCTGGGTGTTCGTTGTGTCAGTTTTATGTATGTTTGTAAAGTCTCCTGCGACACAGAATATATTCCAAATGCTAGAGTTGCTTTTAAAAAAAAGATAGAATAAAATCTATCACATCAACGGCCTTTAATAATCCACTGCTGGACATAGGTCTCTTCTTAGAAATGAGGTTTTGGCCCACTATGCCACACTGTCTGGCTGGTATAGGGTTTGTGGCAAGTTTTCCCTATTTTTGCAGTGCTGTTGTTCTGCGTAGCTTGGGCTCTTAGTCGGCTCTTACGACACCCACCGGATGAATAGGAGTCACCACACGGATGCGACGTATTACCTAACCTTTAGGTCTTTTCCTTCTGAAACTCGTTTTTATGCCGGGTGCATTATTTAACAAAAACATTGGTAATGTGAAATCATCATATTACACTTTTCCCAAATTTACTTTGCGTTGCGTTTTGTTTATAAACAAAAAAGAAAAAGACAAGTCGTATGAAATTTTGGTTTAAAATAGCACCAGACCTTTTCAAAAACTCTGTAAATGAGAAAGTATGGAAATGGTCGTGTTTTAAGATATAGAAATTGATACTCGTAGGTTTTTGTACTCGCAAGGAGCTAATGCCGTAGTGCCACCACTGTGATGGCCGTACCGTGGACACGGCGCTCCACACGCTGGCAGAATGCAAGGCGTGGGTGGAGCAGAGCAGTTGCCTTTTGACGGCCATCGGAGTGGGAATTCTCTCGCTCGGTAACATGATTGCAGCCATGGTACGGAGCGAGAGTGCGTGGAATTGCGCCATCTTCTTCTGCAAGCAAGTTATGCTTGCAAAGGAGATGGCGGAGCGGGACCGGGAGAAGCTTAGAACCCTCCGTGCCCGCCAGGCTCGGGAACGCAAACGACTTAGCGCTGGAGGTCGCAGAACGACCTCCGTCCTCTATAAGCGCAGGCTTGGGGGTGGTAGGTGAGGCCATTTGTCTGTCTAGCAACAGGCTCAGGGTGAAGGGCGTCGTAGATGACCGCCTTATCAGGAATTTCCTTTCTAGGGTACACCCGATTCCCCGGCAACTGGTACTCGAGACGGTGTGCGGTTTTTGGTCGATTCGAGTCCGATATAACCACCGGTAGGTATCCGAAGGGTTTTCCGCACAGAAAAAAGGATTTGGACTGGTTTGTACCTACCTGGTTGTACTTACCTGGTTTGTCCGCGTCGTGTATCATATGAAATGTTGATATCCTAACTCTGAACAAATAAACTTACGTAGAGGTGTAGCATAATTATTTGGTTTATAATTTCATTATTTAGATTTGTTCAATCTGAAAAAGGAAAAATAATCAACCTTTTAACTGTATCTCTATTACGATGTTATTTATTTTTTATTTATTTGCCATATTTGTTCACGAAATGATGTTGAATTCTCTGAATATTTTTAGAAAATGGTGGCTAACTATACATACCTAATACGGGAGATATCGATTTGATATTTATTGTACTTATTAAATGAAAAAAAAATAAGGCCGTCGTGCAGACAGCAGGGTGTCGTGTGTACGTAGAAAACAGCTGAAACTGACAAATGTTATTTCTACTTGGTCGCCTTTTTTGTTATTCACGATAAATACTTTTTAACGTTCGATCAGATGCTCGCAGCCAGTTTCTATAACCTATACTCGTATAGCCACTAGCTGTATTCTACCTCACGAAAAATTCAATCAATCTCAAATGGTCTGATAGTGACGGGTGGTCAATATGTTACTCAAACTTAGAGCCATCGACTGCCGTGTTTATCTTCTGATTACTTCGCAAGAAGCAGGATGTATTAGAATACATCAAGAAGACGTGATCGTCAGACCAGTTGGTCAGAACCTACTAGGAAGTGGTGAGTTCTGTATCGGCAAATATAAGTTACGCTGTTTACTTCGAGCCGGTTAGTCCTAGACATAAATATGTGATTGCATCTTTGATGGTAAAAAGTAGAATGAAGGTTTCAGATACTTACCATGTTTTTTAGACATAATAAGTAAGTCTTTCTCACATACTGGTGAATATTTTTTATAAGGGCGATCAGTGGCGCCATCTGTACTTCTGGTTGAGATTTCTTGAGCATTGTTGTCAAAATGCAGTGACTTGCCTCAGGTCCATTAAAAATTGCAACAAATTTTTAATTGGAAAAACAACTGTTTTAAAGAATGAAATAATTTAGGATAAACATGATTTTCCACTTAATTACAACGTAATCAAATACAGTCATGAGTACCTATAGAGTTAGGTCAAAAAATTAATTATTATGAGACAACTAATATTTTGTATATTTGAATGACGCAAAGGCCCAATACTTCAATCGTTTCAGCAGCAGCATGTTCCTAGAGCTTATGTATTCATTAACATGGAGTACCTATTTAATTGAAATTTTGTCAAACTTTTTGTATCTAGTGGCCATATTGTATGACTATCTGAATATAACACTTTCGTAAACCAGAGATCATACAAGTAAGGAATCACAGATGGCGTAACTTTGTAGTTCTTAAATAAGTATTAAGTTACCCTTGAAGATTTAACTCATGTACTGTCCAACGTACGTAGTACCACACAGAGTATTTACAATAATGGCTATAATACAGCAGAACCCAAAAAAAGGTTCTTAAACCCTATCCGAGTTTATACTTCTCTCAACAGATGGCACTGTAAAGAGTTATGGTGTGTAACAGGAAAATAGCTGAGTAAAATTAATACATATAATTTGTTTGAATCAATTAGCGGAACCTCTTGTCTTTAATTCCAAACTCAATTGTTAAAATGGCTCGGAGTAATATAGTACAAATATGTCTTATATGTCATACACAAAAATTAAAAATGCTTTTTACCAATTTAATAATGTTGATATATTTACTTCATGGGTACATGAACACAGAAGAGTAAATAACATAAATATGTACAACAAATGCCACTACAACCAGAAACAGTAGTACCAATTCCTCATTATAACAAAACTTATTTTATATGAACATTACATTTTGTGATTGTTATAAAAATATTTTGGGTCTATTTAAATAAAATATTACTTGTCTGTGATTATAAGTATCTACGTACAGCACAATAAAATACATCCAGACAGTAGAAAGTGAATTAATTTATACTTAATTTGTTAAAAGGTTCAATGAACTTGATCCTATCCAGTAATGAGGTTCTGAAGTTGGGAGCTTAGTTCGTTTGCATCAATATTGACTTTCGAATTCGATGTGGGCGCTGGGGTGCTAGACTCTCTATTGCATGCCTTTTTATGTACAAACCAGTGGAGGCGCTGGCACTCCCGGTCACAATATTGCACTGATTTACATTTGGAACACTTCTTGGCTGGTTTCTCCTCTCCACAGGTGCTACAATAAGGAATGGCATCAACAAATCCTCTTTGTCCATTGATAGTACAGTTGATTACAGATAGTGCTGGCGGAGGGTCTTTACTTGTCAAGGAGGTAACCATTTGATGGAATGTGGTGCATTCTCTATAAGGAAACTCTCTCACACAATCTTTCAGGAATGCATCCATCAAGTCTAAAGAAAATCCATCTTTTCCAGGTTTAAGCAGTTTCTTTGCGAAAACTTCAATGACATCATGCTTCTTCTCATCCTTGTCTGTATTTACTTTCTTATCTTTAATGTTATGGATTTCTCTTATGAGGTATCCAAGGTAATGGTATTTGAAGGCCATAACTTCATTGGTGTCACCTCCTCTCGTCATCTCTTTTTTGCACATCAGTTCAAGAACCTTTATGACTTTTTCAGCATTTTCTAGTAAGCTAGGTATGTGTTGAAGATGTAGCGCTAATCTCACAGGATGTATGTTGACTCCCAAGACAAACTTATGCAAAGGATCCACTAGAAAGCCAGGTAGGTATGGCTCAGTCTGTTGGCCTTGGATGACACTGAAATAAGCGATTTCATTACGCGGTACGTAGTTGTTGATAGTGGCGACAGTATGGTGATTACCCACAAATGCCGCCATTTGCGAGGCAGTGCGGCCGACAGAGTTTGTAGTCGTTGACTTGGCCCCCGCGTCCAGTAGAAGTTTACACACCTCAGAGTTCCCCGATAATGCTCCAAAGTGCAAAGCAGTATAGTTATACTCATGTTTGCCTGAATTTACGTCTGCACCCTATAAAGAAACATTTACACATAAGATTATGTAGTTAATTCTGAAAGTAATACACGACACTAAAGATATTTGCATACCCTATCGAGAAGGAGTTGCACCATGTCCTTGTTCCCCTTATAAGCGGCATGTTGTAGCGCAGTCATACCATTTTCGTCGAAGAAATCGACGGTGCCTTTGTGTTGGGCTAATATATTCTTGAATTCTATGAAATCATTTACGCCTATGGCATCGAAAATTGTCCTTTCTGCAGCGGGTTTTTCTTCATTTTTCGTTTCCATATCGATTATCCTATAAATTTTAGTACAGAATAGAAAGATGCTACAAGAAGCAAACAACCTATAAATTGAACTGTCAAAGTCGATGTGAATGACACTGTTAGAGATGCGTGATTTGATTGTTACTATGAATGAAATCGACTAAATTGGTTTACATATCATATTAATGTTTCACATTATTGTAACACAATTTGTCCATAATTTTTTTATATCGTTAATTACATAATAATAGCTCAATAAATATTTTTATTTTTTTATTTTTTGGTCTTGACTGGATAGTCTTCCTCTGTATTTATTATCTTTAGAGGTAGAGTATTTATGCAGGGGTAGTGCATATCCCCGAGGTTTTAGTCGGTTCGAGTCCGACATAGCCCGGTAAGTGGTATCCGAGGCGATTGCCGCACAGAAAAAAAAAACAAAAAGTGGTAGTGCATATAAACATATTGTTTTGACATCTTATAATAAAGCACAAGCGTATGTAATATAAAATAATTTTGTAAGTTCATTTCTTTTAGTAAAATGGATAGATAAAATCTCAGAAATAAGTATTTAAATATATAATATATATTGCATTGACATAGGAGACAATATTTACTTTGAGGATAGAACACTGACTATAAATTATACTTTATTATAGTAGGTGCAGTGGTAGCATATGCGACTACTGTGCCGATGTGTCGGGTTCGATTCTCGGGTCGGACCAAAAATTTGTATGATCTGCAAATATTTGTTTCGGAGTTTGGGTGTCTTCTATGTATAATAGGTATATAGGTAGGTATTCTATCCGTCAATCAAGTTTTCAAAATACAAGCTCTGCTTAGTTTGAAACTAGATGGCGTTATGTGTCCAATGTCGGAAATATTAAAAAATCTAAATTTAATTAAACTATAATAATATATAACTATAATTAAATAATGAAATATGAACTCCAACAATTTCATTTTATTTAATACTTTATGCATAACGTGTACAGAGCCGTGCTTAATGCCAAAGGACAAATATTGTCTAATTATATAGCACATACTCCATGAATATCTGTAGACATGGTATGACCACTTCCACATACAGTGAAATAAAAACATAATACATCGCCATCTAACGAAGACACGCCGAACTATGGAGTAACTGGTGAAGTAGTCCTGTAGCGCGATGTAAAAAATTCTCACGCCGATTTGCATATGTACAACTTCCCAACATCAACTATAATCACCTCGTCTGGTCCGACGATCCTCCCTTTGTGGTGACATACATGCACGTATTACTTAAACTTAGCGTTTTTATTGTAGACTCTAAGGTTGTTGTGATTTCGTACGACCTCTATGCTAAAGTATTTAACTGCCAATTCGTGTCTATCGGCTTTGCTTCTATTCTCTAGTTCTAAAATCTATTGCCAAGGCGTTCAGTACAATCTATGTATTTTAAAGATAATATGATGTATGTATTGTAATGATGTACTGTAATGAGTAATGATGTATTAGCAAGAAAAGTTTTGTGGCGCTTGTTGAGAGAGTCTGGATAGCGCAGCTGACTGTTATTTTATTAGTTATATACGTACGTATATACGTACCTAAGTAACAAAGTTTAATGATTGACATCAACGGTATAGAAACTTTCATAATATCAAAGAATCAGGAGCATTGATATAATACTTACATAGATGAGTAACTACCGCCTAAAATCGTTGCTACTGCACATATTATGTCCACAGGCATATGCGTAGCAAACGTCAATTCATTATTCAATGTGGCGTCAACCGAGTTGAACATAGCGACACATGACAGTACGAATCGCCAAAATGGCTAAATGCGTAGTGAAAGAATGCGATTCAAGGTCACAAAACATTAATAAATCATGCGGAATTACTTTTCACGTGTAAGTTTATGGTTTTTGTATTGATAATATCGTAAATAAGGCTATAATTGAAATAAAACACTGATAATTGTAATTTAGAATCAGTGTTACCATTAAAAATAATTTTGGTTTTCCCACATTAGTGGGAGAATTTATAATTTATGAAATAATATGCTTTATACTGTTTTTAAACATTTTGCCAATAATAATAAAATATAGGAAGAACGGTAGTTGTTAGGGCTGGACCGATCCCTTTTTTAGGGACCCGTTAAACGTTCACTGCGAGCTTGGCAGAAGTGCCAAGCTCGCAGTAATTTATTATCAATTTTAAATAATAATTGTACAAAATAATAATAATAATAATAATATAAAATAAAAAGTAAATAAACAAATAATTTTTTTTATAAAATAAAAATAAAAAAAAATTGTTTTTTAAATTATAATAGAATTTGCAATACACCCTGGGGATTATTTATTTTCAGTACAAGTTGATCATTCACTTTTATTATTAAATGCTATTATTTTTACATACGTAAAAATAAGATTGTATCATGAAAGTAAAATATCCACACAAACTTATAAAGAGTCTAAAAGACAATTGTATACAAAACTGATGCTTCACAGCGCAGTTTGATTTTACACTGAATATAAACCCTTTTAACCAAATATTTCCAGTTATTTTATTATTTATACCTATTCTATTCAATTCGAAATATATTATTTAGAATATTTAAATTAATTTATTTTATTACAAAGTTGTTTTAAAAAAAAATTGTTTCTTAGTTGTTATGGGTAAAATTTCATACGGTAGTCAACACTGGCTCACCATCGTAAAGTTATATCTTTGTCTTTGTCTAATCCGAGCGATGGTATTGTTCTTGTCTCGCGTGTAAATGAGACATAAATATGTTTACTTTCAAATGTTTAGTGGTATCAAAGCTACGTCGTCAAAGTTCAAAAGTGGTTACACTTTTTTCGACGTGTGATAATGAGGTTTGCTTCTCTAGTGTTGTTTTAACTCAATGATCAGGAGTATAACAATTAGAGCTTTATTTACACCCAAGGCGCCAGACAACCAATGTTGATATGGTATGCTGGTGTGTGTGGTAGGTAGGTATTATAATGTAGGTGTTTTCTTTTGATAGAATGTTAGAAATGTTGTTACATTTTATTTTTTTGAGACGACTTTCGATTGATTTCATGCTATGACATGCTATGCAATTTTATTCAATTTGTGTGGCAATAACTAAATAAATAGTAGATATGTTTGAGAATACGTGACCATGAGAGACTTGCAAGTGCCTCCATGTGTGGTTTCGTAAAAAAGTCAATAAATTTTAATCATTTGTGGTATTGTCTTACTGTTATTTAGTGTTTTCTGTCTATTTTGGTACTTGTTGACTTTATTTTAAGTTTCTGCAACACTTGATTATTTTATTTGGAGTTTATCTAAAGTAAATGTTTTCATTTTTATTAATTAATTCAATTATATAGATTTTTTCTAAATCGATGTAAGAGCTCTGTCACTTGAATTGATTGAATGATTTTCTCCATGTCATGAATTAGTTTGATTTTGAATTCAAAGTTTTTGAAATGTTATAAAAGAGAAAAAATAAGGGGTAAATAAAACAAGACTATTAAGTATAAATTTATTCTAAAATCAATAGTCATAATGGCTGATATGACTATTGATGTAATATCAACAACTATAAATATCAACTACATTTCTAAAACATCAATATACGTAACTAACATTCAAGAGTACCATGGAATATGATAAAAATCTGCATTGATATATATATCTCCCTCATACACAAGAGGCTAATATTAAAGGGTTATCTTAAATAGGTTGATTAAATATTTTCTAGATATCGAAAATGTTGAATTTTAAAAGCAACTAGGTACGTAGTTGCTAAACGAAAGTCGCTCAACACTTTTTAAATCTTCTTTCTTAAAAACACAGGGTGGATATTTTTTACCCGTTGATGATAAGAAATGCTTTTTGCATTATTTTGGTACAAGACTTATAGCTGTGTGTTTCTGTATGTGTTTAGTGACTTTCGTTATCGATTATACATAGAAAGTAATACTCATAGAAAAGATTATGAATGCACTACACATCAAGTAAGATAAGTTATTGTATGTGTAGAGCGTGTACATTTCTATCTCAATGGAAGATCTATTGATATCCGATAAATATTTAAAAAATTTAAAGTACAATTCATCAGTCCGCATTGCCCAGGACGGAGTGATGAATAGTAGTTAACAACATAAATTTAACTTGAAACATAATTTAAAAAATGGAGCACTTGAATAATTGATTATAAGCACAACAATCAGAGAGATTAAATGGTTTATAAAGATTACATGTTAACACGATACAATTATTGAATAAATAGTAGTGAATAAGACGTTGATTAAATAGACACAGACTAATAATATTTTATCTTCAATAATGTGGGTATATGAACAATAAATTGTATTATATCAATTAATTTATTTATTCTACAGTGTCTATTATCTACACAGCATTTTTTCTTCTTATTAGTATGTGTATATATTTCCTATTATATTTTTATATACCTTAATAAATATTATGCATAATATGGTATTTAAAATTTAAATAAAATACCTATCATAAGGATTATACATGCGCGTATCATATATAAATTAACGATATTCCATAAGCATAGAGTGATTTTTCCTTTAACTACGTAATGTAAGGTTAAGATATTATTTGAAGAAATTATATTTGAAGTGGTTAAATATTTCAATACTACGTTATTAATGCTACGATACACGTATTAAGTGCCAAATATACAATTCTTAAAACTAGTTACTTGCCGAATGGAAAATATGCGTTAATGACATAGGTACTTAAATAAACATTACAGAAGCTCATACACGTATGTACTATAAAAAGGAAATGTTTGCTAAACCAAACATACATTAAATGGATTTTTTTTCTTTATGCGAATAGCTCAGTTGTTAAACTTGCAAAACATTTTGTCAATTTAAAGATATGAGTTATAGTCAATACAAATAATCGACTAAATAAATGATTCTGATTATTGTTAACCTTAAACAAAAAATGTAATGCGTGGTTTAAAAAGCAGTTTATTTTATAATACTTAATTGTTCCAGTGTCAACCGTAGTGCTTGATGGGACTATGTCTAAACTACAGCTAAAACATCGACGGTTTGCTGAATTATCGGTTATTCTTATTTAAATACTGAATATTTCAGAATATTTTTATGTATCTACTCTTAGAACTATTTATGTAATAAAATCAATGAATATATTTAGTAATAATCTATAAAGGATAATAAAATAAGTACCGGAGTACCTACACTAATGAATTGTGACTATTCAATCCTTAACTTAGTAACATACTAAAGTGTAAATAATACTTAACTAATACAATATATTATGTATATGATTTAGATGTATCTTAGATGGCCATTAATATTCAATAATAATTTAAATACTAGTATTAATATGATGGTATACGATTTGCACATTTTACCCTCGTTCATCCACACTAAGCACATTAAACTTTGTGTTATTGTATCAGAAGTCTTAATTTATAAAGTAATAAAAGAGATAAGAAATATCTTGAAAAATTAAAACTAACATTTCATAGTATTTGAAATGTAAGACCGATAGTGAAGCTGCTTTTATAAAAGCCTATTTAATCAACTAGAAAACCAAAAAAAAACTCGGGAGTGTTTCAACGTTTAGACGTAGTAGACGTCAAAGGAGAGTTGTGCTCAGACGAGTGCAGGGGCTGAAGCGAGAGTTGGAGTGGCAGCTGGAGGCTGCTGTGGGGTTGTGGGGGTGTGCACTGCAGATGCCAACCTGACTCCGCCGCTCTCCGAGACAACCATGCCATTGTGAACGGTGCCGTTTCCTTCCGTATCAGCGTATGGTGTGGTCAGGATACGTAGACGCTGAGAATTGTCAACAAAACATTTGATGTACACATACATTTAAACGGTCAACAGTTAATAAGCACTGATAAACTTGTGTTGCATCTTTATAGTAGAAAAAGGCCGCGAGAGTTTCTATTGGGTTTATAACTAAGGCTAACTTCCTGAAATGCTGACTAAGTTTTGTGAGTGTTAATAGCAAGTAACCATACAGTATGTTCGGTAATTTAGTTTAATAACAATGTAAAAAGTCTAAAGAAATTTTGCGTTAAGTTCTCTTTTCATCAATTTGAATTTGCAATCTTTATGCAACTTTTAAGATGTAGGATAAAGATCAAGTATTGCAAGATGTGTCTAAAAAAGATTTCTCAGTAAATCAGTAATTATCTAAGCGTACCCTTATATACATAGACATAAGAATAAGAACTTAGTTGTAGCAGAATTTTACCTCCAAAAATGTTCCTTTAGTGGTTAGCAGCTTGAATATAGCGACAGTGGGTATACAGAGAACACTGGATCCAGCTATAGCCCATCCAAGAGCATTCGCCCAGCCAGGATACACATAATCCTCGTATTGCAAAGGTTCGTAGTCCAATAAACCGTAAACCGTTATAAAGAGTAAGAAAGCAGGGGCTGCAAAACGCCAGCAAACTCGCCAGTAAAGACCAGGCCGGAAACCGATCATATCGCGTATGTCCTCACAGAAACGTTCAGTACCTGCAAAACAGTATAAGATTTTTTAATTGAATGACTACTCTTCGCCGTCATTATGCCACTTGTAATGAAACTTCATCAAATCACTTACCATAGATCCAAGAAACAGCAATAGCCTCGAAGAATACAGCGATCAGTATAGAATACCCAGCAGCATACCTATCAAGCAATTGGAAGAAGTAGAAACCGCCCTTGGTGCATGAAGCCAATCCAACGAAGAAGTAAAGCGTGAACAAGCACGCCACAAACAACTCCCGGTGCCGACCAATTGGAGGAAACTCGTCGCTTAAAGCTGTTATAATAGCTTCAGAACCCCCAAACTGGAATAGGAACAAAGTATATTGTCGTCATCACGTATATACATTTTTAGTGTCAGAGAGCAGAGATGGAGACATTTGTCCCCCGGCGCGATATATGGTGGCGGATCACTAAGTCTACATTGTCATTTAAATAAGTTAAAAGGGAAACTGTTTGCCAGACACCATTATAGAAACAGCATGTAAATGACTGTCCCAAATTTGTCACAACATCATGTAAGACAGCGGTTTTGCCGAAAGTGTGCTCAAATATCCACTACTAACAGAAACAGAATAGTCAGTAATTATAAACAGTCCTAAATAAAGAAGTATTACTTGAGTAGCAGATTACTTGATTATGAACTTGTACTTTCTAAGACGGTAAACTTCATGGATTAGGGTTCTGATTACGGGTATATAAAATTGATTGAAACTCACCGAACTATCCAAACCAAGTGTCAGCAGCATCATGAAGAAAATTAGCGCCCAAAACGTGGATCCTGGCATAGTGGCGATAGCTGCTGGGTACACTACAAATACAAGTCCTGGACCTTCAGTAGCAACGTCTTGGACCTGTTTGCCTGAAGTATGTGCCATGTAGCCAAGCACGCTAAAGATCACAAAACCGGCCACGAAGGATGTTGCAGAATTGATTACACTTGTAAGTATGGCGTCTCTGTAGATAAAGTTAATTTTTAAATTTATGGTTAATTGGATTTTACCCGTGGCTAAACCCGCGTGTATGTCGGTTATCACTGTAAATAGTAGCCTATGTGTTTTCTAAGAATCTAAGTATCTTCATGCCAAATTTTTTAAAATTGGTTTAGCGATTTAACTGTGAAAGTGTAACAGACAGACTACTTTAGAAATTATAACATTAGTAGTGATTTTTGTCTAGAAATTTAGTTTGACATAGTATGCAATTTAGTGAGTATGGCGGATGAGGGAGAGCTTCCAACCCCAGCTTTTGCAGCTTGGAGACTGTCTGTTGCGCAGTATGGGGTCGCGCGTTGTCGTGAAGGAGCAGTGGGGACGACCGATTGACCAAAGCTGGTTGCAGATGTGACCACCAGACCTTGCACCTACCGACTAGTACTTTTTCCAAAATTTAGACAAATTTTTAGTGGGTAAAAAATTCAATTCCCGAGAGGCAGTAAAAAATGCATTTGAAGAGTTTGTTGCCTCCCGTCCAGCTGATTTTTACAAGAAGGGCATCAATAAACTGCCAATGCGTTTGCAAAGATGCGTCGATTGCATGGGTGATTACTTCGAATAACAGAAATAAAAAAGTTTGAAAAAATAAGTACTTTCACTTATTGCATACAAAACGGCAATTTCATAGGTAAAGACCTATTATTTCTAAGTACTTACTTATACACGTTGTTATGGTACTTATTGTAAGACGCATAGGCCAAGAGCACTCCGAATCCAGGGCCCAGAGAAAAGAAAACTTGAGTAGCTGCGTCCACCCAAACCTAAATACAATTTAATAATTTTTATTCACGTACAAATGAGATGAAATGAAATCTGCAAATAGGTTAAAGGAACATTATGGCATTTCAAACTGTTTTTGAGCAGATGAGTTCGGAACCTTCCTAAATGGACTAGCGCTTAGAAGAAAGAACGAACCAAACTCGTCACTTCAAATCGGATTATTGGCTCTTTCAAAGTACAGACAATCTTCTCAGGTACAATCCTAAAAGATATAATTTTCAGTGAATCTCAGTTTGTCAACAGGTTTATATTTGTGGAATATTGGATTCTGAACTGCTCTTTGTTACGTCGGACGTAATGTAACATGATATAAAAGTTTTGCCCTGTTCGACCATAAGATGGACACCCTAAATAATGATCAATAAGAAGAAGCGAAGAGCAAAGAAGATGTAAACCATACCTGAGGTTGTGTTATAGCTTCAAAGTTAGGACTAAGATAGTATTGAATGCCGGTAGCAGAGCCAGGGAGTGTTATACCACGAACCAAAAGAATCAGGAGTACTGCGTATGGAAAAAGAGCCGTAAACCAGACCACCTGTAACAAATAAATGCAGTCACCGCTTATTACTGCTAGATCTTTTTTTGTAAATATCTGATAAATAACATTTAACAAGTAAAAAAATATATATCACTTTGCCAGAAGTGCTGATGCCTTTCCACAAGGAAAAGTAACAGATGATGTAGACAGCAAGCAAGCACAGAGCCATGTCCCATTTTATGGATCCCAAGTCGTGCAGACCCTTGCTTCCCTGCAGCTCTAAGATCGCTCGGCTGAAAGTTAACGAAGCTTGTGTAGTTATTCTAAGTCAATATAATTTGAAAATGAAAAACAGAAGGAAAACTTGACCCAAACCCTATACCACCCCGGTCTGGCCAGCGTGGTATAGTAAGCCAAAACCTCCTCTCTAAAGAAAAGCATATGTCCAGCAGTGGACTGTTAAAGACTGTTAAAAAACGCAAAAGGTTTGCACCAAACTCTATAGTTTGTTACGGTACCGATTTGAAGTATTAACAAGAAAATTAATAATAAAACAAACTTACTTGAAGTACTCCGAGGCAGGGGAAGTAAATGGCGTGGCTTGATGTAATGCAGGGTATGCAGCAGAGCTGTTATTACGTATTCGAGACCTATTAGCCTCCATACCAAACTGCAAATAGTAAACATTTTTTTATTTTTTTATTGTAATCTTCGATTGTAATCTTTTTCTGTTTAAAGTAGGCCATTTAATGCCATGAAGTAGAAATTTAATAAAAAAAATCAGTAGTTGCTAGAAGTTCGTTCCTAAATCAAAAAAAAAACCTTAATCGTTGACTTCTAAAACAAAAAGTTTGGATAAAAAGAATTACAAATAATTATTATTTAAGAACTAATAAAATCCGCTTATATAGCAAGCCGAACTAAAAAGTAGAAAAATAGTTTGCGTTATGGAAAAGCTTTTTCTATATTTATATAATAAATTGAATTTTCTTTTTTTAATGCAATATATTTATATTATTTCTAATGGTTATTAGTTTGTTATAATTTTTTACAATACAAACTCTTTAAACATAATTATTTTCTAGTTTTTAGTACAATTTGCTAAAAGAACGGGTTTTTAATTTCATTTATTTTCACGATTTTTTTTTAATACTGTATTGTCCTTGATGCTTGCACTGAACGGGACAGGAACGAACATATGGAGAAATCAAATTAGACTAACTCAAAGCGTACCTATAGAAAAATAGTTCTCTGTCTACTTTAAAAAATGAACTTACATCTCTGCAAGAGGGTGTATTCCACTCGTTGTTACAATTAGTCCAGGGTAGCATGGTGGTGAAAGAAGCGAAGAAGAAGCGGAGCGCCCAAGCGATAATGACATTATAATAGAAGTCCACGTAGAATGCTATCAGAACCACTGCATAACCAATACCTACAAAAAGAATAAATCGCACTTAATATTTGGATCGAACAGAAAAAAGTAAAGACAAAATTAAAGGCCGCTAACCTTTACGGCTACCATAACGGCTAGTTAAAGTAACCCAACCTAACTCCAGATCGAAATGTGTATAGAGAGTCTATTATTAAAGGCAAAGAATATGTTGAAGGAGGCATACACCAAGATAGTTCAAGAAAGCAAAAATAGAAGAAAAAGAATTATAAGAATGTAATCTCAAATATGTTATGTTGTTAGGTACTTTTACGTTAGGTAGTTTATATCTAATTCTGAATTCTAAACCAAAAGCTTTTTCTGTGTATTTTGTATTTGTATCATGTCTAAGTCACTTTAATACATAACTGCAGTCCAATTATGTTAAATACCACTTAAAAACTCCCAAGATTGGATGAAATCCATAAAACAAAAACCCTTATCCGACTCTTAAATTATAGGTCAATCATACGAGCAAGGTCGAAATCCATTTCCACAAAAATACTTTCACTCAGAACGGTTTTCCAGCACCTTTCCAGTCCATTACCAATTTTATTTCTCTTCAAAAATCACGTCGTGGTAGGAGCCACTCAGCGGTGCGACGTGACAATCGACTCAAATGAAATCAACGGGCATAAGCCGGCCTCGCAAATCTACGGAGCCTTTTGAGAGAGAGACCGTATGGGACGAGCACTTAAGGGGAGTCTCGGGAATGGTGTCAATTATGGGTGTTAAGTGCGAGGGGCGACGTCCAACAATATCGCGTTCTTGTAAATGACGCAGCCCATGTTTTGCATAAAAAGTCTTGAAGATGAGTACCATTGTTTTGTTGAAGTGTTGGATTTTCGGACGTATGTGAGAGTTAGTACGTATGTAGTATAGATATTTTGATTTGTTTTAGATAAAAATCTGAAAACAAACCTCAAAGTTTTTAATAGAGATTAAAAATAAAAAAGTATTAAGGATGAAAGTTATAGAATGTAACTTTATTTTACAGTGTATTGAAAAGATGACTACTTATACCACTTTAAAAAATAATAAACTAAAAAGTAACTCTTCTTAGAAATTTACAAAACTGGACTTTGGCCATGAAAGGGTTGCATAAGGAGATCCGGAGTACCCCCTTTTTTTTAATCCCTGCCTAAATTAGACTTTACAATCAGCTTTGTAAAATAATAATAGCAAAGTGAAATCTGTCTCTTAAGTTTAATAAACATCAAAACGTAGACATATTATTGGAAAGCGTAATTATATGTCATCTGATTTAAACGTGAAATTTTGAGACGAAATAAAAGTATTTTAACAACAGTGTGGAAATGGCTAAGTGGTAGTGGCTATAACTCAAGATCGCGGAGGTCGTCGCGTCTCCATTCCGATGACATTAGCACCACGTACGTGACCAACCAGCGCCTCATAAATCTAGCTGTTCATATGACTCGCGCGTTGCCGCAATAAATCCAAGGTAAGTAAAGAGAAATCGACACATTTTTTATTTAAGTCATGTTAGTGTGAACTCTTCATTAAAATATATATTTGCGGTAATAACGAGCGTAAACGTAATATAAAACTGAACACATAATAGCGAACGACTCTAAAATAAAGATAACATAATATCATTTAAAAATCATTTACAAAATACACAAAGGGGTAAGTACTAGAGTATTGTTCCTTAAATTTTTTGTGGAATGTTACTGAGAAATACAGGATTAACCATATCTAGTGAGTGAGTGTAAAGTCAGCAGATTATTTAACTACACCGAGTTAAAACGAGTTTGTAATACATTTGAACTCCTTAAGCGTACCTACTGGTGGATCTACCCCTACATATAAATAAATATCCAATACAATTTGCTTTACTCGTCCCTAGAAAAATATACATTCTATAATATTCAGAATAAATAGATTATTTCTTTCGATAATCGAGAAAATAGCTACATGCCTTTGCATTCAGTCCACATTTGAAACTATATACCTTTTTGTTATCAGAGACGTACAATCTATCCATTAAAATTTTTAACCTTAAATGGCAACACTTACCTTTAAACAGAGGCACTAGCCTCCCCCAGCAGGTGATGGCGCCTTTTCGATGGAACTGACCCAACGCCAACTCCATGTAGAAAAGCGGGATACCTCCCACCACCAGCATGATGCAGTATGGCACCAAGAATGCGCCTAAACAATCAGATTACAAGCTGAGATATTACAAATCTACGCATTTAAACTGGACATTATTTTAAAACTTACTATGCTTTTTTTTAATTTAAAACCAATCGAACAATGGTAATCATGAGAGATCTACACGTATATCAGAATTGAAATGCTTAGAATATAATTCTAATTGATTCGTTGAAAAATATGCTTAACAAGATGACTCAAATGGAATGAGAAAGTAACAAGATAAAAAAATATTATAGCTTTTCTTCCTGCCATGTAGCAAAATAAAGTGGTAGTCACTTTCCCAAGAACTGTTTTCAATGAAAATCTACCAAGATCTATCTCATAGTAAAGTATAAGTTACTAAGTACTCGAAACTCTCGTAACAAATATATTACTTGTCTGTACAATTCCATAAAGTAGCTAATAATTCTTATAACAACGTACATTTTTCAGTCAATTTCCCCTAAAGAGTTCCGCAGCAATCTGAGATGAGGTCGCAATACCGCCAATAATTTCATATCGGCTCCCTCGAGAGGGCGACGCAAATTGTACTGTAATTGGCCTTTTAAGGCATTTACCTTGTGACTGCTTTTATAAGTCTTGAAACATTTCTCTTGCATACAATGTTCTAAAATGCGCGGTATATATATGTTATAATAATTTTAGCTTTCAATCAAATATTGTACGAGATTTTTGTCATTGTGGACTTTCTTACAGACGAGCTATGAATTCGATTATTTAAAGGTCTTTGTGTGGATGTGACATTTTGGCAGCTGGAGTATTCCTGTTTCGGTACCAATTTCTTTTTACACCTATTGTTTCAGCCCCTAAGCTATTCGACTTACCAGCAATAGATATATTGGCTTGGTGCTCAATGTGGAACATATATTAAAATTTATTCCTCATTCAGCACCTGCGGTGCGGTAATTTCTAGTGATGTATAATAAGTATTGGTTACAGATTTTATCGACAAGTTTTAATTAAGAAGTTTGTGAAAATATGTGGAATAGCTTAGGTGCTGAAATCATAGGTGCTGAAAAAATTGGTGCCGAAAGAGGAATATTTCCGGCCGCTATGTGGCTGGGTAAGAAAGCATTTCATTACTTCGCGCTACGGCAATAATTATGGGTTTGATTCCTGCGCTGTGAAAGTGTACTGCTTAGTACTTTTAAATGTATGAGTCATTCATGTGGAATAGTTGATATTACCGCACTTAACAACCACATTAAAGCTTGATAGGAATAGTTCACACGACTAAACTGTAAATAATTTTAAAATTAATTGTAAATATGTTTGTGTAATTACTTAAATGTATCAATCTAAAACTACTATATTTTAGTTTTATTCTCTAATAATGCATACTTTACGTAAGCCAAACTTTTAGCTTAAAAAGCTTTCTGACAGTTTCTAAATTTTATTATAACTACTACTACTAACACACATCAAAACCCACTATTCGAAAGAAAATAAAAAAAATAATAACGCTGAACTAAAAATAATCAATGTAAATAAAAACAACTTAAAATATCTTCATGCATGCGTCGCCATGCCAACAGCCGGTCTGACTCTCCGCATTGGATGTTTCACATCCAAAAGTACTAAACTTTTGCCAATTATTTCTCATTTTAATAAAGGAGGGCAGAGGAGCAAACGGGTCACTTGATGGTAAATTATGACCACCTCCCATAGATACCTGCAACTAAAGCCTGTTGTTGGGCCTTTGTTAACCTCACTCACTCGGTAAAAAGCGACTAAAGAATTGCTCAACATCGTTTTTCGTTGAGGCCATGTCATCAGCCCGGTCGGCCCCCGGCTGATATGTGCTACCATGGTAAATGATTCAATGTGACTATCATCTACCATCGAAATTTGAATTCACGTTGAACAATGAGTACAAAACTTCAGAGTTAAATCAGAATTTAGCTTACATCACATCTACGAAGTCTATGAACTTTCCTAAACAGGCAAATTGGAGAATCTTATCAAAGATATGCGCGAAGCAGTTACTAAACTATGTCTAAAGTAGGTCAGTCGACACAAAGCAAAACGTACCACAGTAGCGCATTACCAAGCTTCGGTCCAAGTAAACAGCTAATGACGACGACAATTGTTAAATGACGAACTTCCTTAGACTTTAATTGAGTAAGTAACCTACAGTGTGACTTATATGAAGGATGATAAGTAAATTTCATTATTAAAGCTATTGAACGATGCATACCGCAATTATTTAGTAGGGGTGACACATTTTAAAGAAAACGGGGTGACACAATTTAAAAAAAGAAAAGGTTTCTAGGAAAAGGTGAATAAATCGATCCGATTAATTCGGATCGAAACATCTTTTTTATTTCTTTGACATAGATTTCAAGGACCTCGAATAGCTAATTTTAGTTTTATTGTTTTATTAGTTTTTGTATGCACTCACATATGTAAAACTGGGTGTAATATGTACGTGGGTACATATTGTGACTGTTTAATCATTTAAATAAAAATCCATTATAACATCAAACTAAAATCATAATAGTCCGTGTGGTGACGGATTAAGAATACAAATTGTCACCACCCCAATTCATCCCGTGTGTGTCGTAAGAGCCGACTAAGGGAGCAAACTAAGCAGGTCAACAGCACTGCAAAGAGAAGGAAAACTTGAAACAAACCCTATACCAACCCGTCTGGCCAGCGTGGTATAGTAGGCCAAAACCTCCTTTCTAAGGAGAGGCCTATGTCCAGCAGTGGACTAGTATAGGCTGTTGATGATGATGATGTTGATGAAAATCACTTAAATTTGATACTACATGTGAAATATGTTATATTACATGGGCTGAAAAGTCCCGGGTCTAACACATACATGGCGCTAGTTTTATTGCAGTCACCTTTTTTTCAGTTAATACTAACCTTTAAAAGACAGCTGTTAGAATTTCATGATATTCTATTCATTAGTTTGTGAGTTATTGTGCTAAGAGTGACGCTACTTTTGTTATTTTCAAAACAATGGATCAAAAACAATTTCGTGTTTTAATTTTACACTGCTTCTTGATGGGAAAAAATACCGTTCAAGCGAAGCAATGGCTTGAAAAGTGTTATGGGGACTCCGCTCTATCAGAAACAACAATAAAACGTTGGTTTGCTGACTTCAAACGTGGTCGTAGAGACACCGATGATGCAGAACGCAGTGGACGTCCAAATGAGGCGGTAACACCAGAAAACATAAAAAAATCCACAAAATCGTTTTGAATGATCGAAAAGTGAAGTTGCGTGAGTTGGCTGCCATCGGAAAGATATCAAAAGTACGTGTTGGCTTTATATTGCATGAGCATTTGACTATGACAAAGCTCTGTTCAAAGTGGGTGCCGCGTTTACTCACTGTTGACCAAAAACGAGAACGTGTTGATGATTCTGAGCAATGTTTGGCCATGTTTAAACGTAACAAACCGGAATTTTTGCGTCGATATGTGACAATGGATGAAACATGGATCCATCACTTCACTCCGGAATCAAAACGATCGTCATCTGAGTGGACAGCAACTGGTGAACCTGGACAACAATCGGCTGGAAAGGTTATGGTCTCGGTATTTTGGGATGTGCGTGGTGTAATATTCATCGACTATCTTGAGAAAGGAAATACCATTAACAGTGAATATTATATAGCGTTATTGGAGTGTTTGAAGGCCGAAATTGCAAAGAAACGACCGCATATGGCAAAGAAAAAAATTTTGTTTCATCCAGACAACGCACCGTGTCACAAGTCAATTAAAACAATGGCAAAACTACATGAATTGAACTTCGAATTGCTCCCACATCCACCGTATTCGCCAGATTTGGCTCCCAGCGACTATTGGCTGTTCGCAGACCTGAAAAAAATGCTCGCCGGTAAGAAATTTCGCACGAATGAAGAGGTTATCGCTGAAACTGAGGCCTATTTTGAGGCAAAAGATAAATCGTTCTACAAAAGTGGTATTGAAATGTTAGAGCGGCGCTGGAATGATTGCGTTGCTCTTGATGGAGATTACATTGATGATTAAAGCTATTTTTGAACCAAAAAAACTGTGTTTTCTTTGTTAGGCCCGGGACTTTTCAGCCCATGTGTTAGATTAATTCAAATTACTTCTTTAGCAATTTTTTGACATCTATGAATCCATATTTTTTACACACTGAAAATATACTGGTTTACCGAAGATCTTCACTTTTTAAAATGACCTAAAACTATCTCCGTTGTTACTTAAATAATCAAACTGGTTTAAACTTATGAAAATGTGACAGTCTACGAGAAACTAAGCACGCCCGAAAATACCGTCTTCATAAAAAAGTACAAAATCACCCAGTACTATTTACTTCGAGTAAAACAATTACCTACAGAGGCTACAGACTACCTAAAACTTCTGCCAAGATATTCGAGGAGGGTGGGGGAATATAGCAAGGATTAACTTTATTGCCGGATGCAACAGGTCTCGAATAAAGAGCCGTGGAAGCATTCCACCGAAGTTTCTCTAAGTCGCGGATGAAGGGGAGAAGTGCCTTTTGAGCTCCGTGTCGCTTAAGTGAGGATAATGGGGCTTTATGGAACACGAAGCTTTCTAAAATGATAGTGTGATTTAATTTTTCGAACTGTTGTTATGTTTGTGTTTTCTGTTCTTATTTATTTATAATAACTTAATGCTCAAGTTGTACACAGGCGGACTTAATCCCCAGGGCATTCTTTGCCAGACCTTCGGGTGATGTAGAAAAATGGTGCGGTAGGTGCAAGAGAGAACAAGAAATTTCATTGATTTATATTAAATTTATTAATTTAATGTAACTCTAACTTAGATATAATATACATAAATAAATTAATATACACAGTACTACATATATACATAGAGGTCCCAAGTCTACACGTACAATACATAAACATACACATACATAAATTATATAAATATCAAAATACACAGGTACTCGCGTTGTGACCGCTTTGTGTCTTCTAGATTTTTTACTACTTTTGTAAATCCAATCAACAATCTTATTAATAATGCAAGTGGAAAACCCATATGTGCTAAATTGACTACTCTGTGATAATATATGGAATTGTGGATTAAAAACCGGCCAAGTGCGAGTCGGACTCAGGCATAAAGGGTTCCGTACCATTATCTATAAAAACGGCAAAAAAAAATCATGTATGTTGTATGGGAGCCCAAACCTAAATTTCTATTTTATTCTGTTTTTAGTTTTTGTTGTTATAGCGGCATCAGAAATACATCATCTGTGAAAATTTCAACTGTCTAACTATCACGGTTCATGAGATACACCCTGGTGACAGACGGACAGACAGACAGACAGACGGACGGACGGACAGCGGAGTCTTAAAAATAGGGTCCCGTTTTAACCTTTAGATACGGAACCCTAAACTAGCAACTATGGAATAATTACTTTTATTAAGGCATAGGTAGTTATTTTATTATTAGACTAGCTGAACCACGCAACGTGGTCTGCGTCTCTCAAACGGAATAAATTATTCCCGTTTTTGTAACATTCCTATTCCTATTGGTCCTATTGTTGGTAGCGTAGCGTGATGTGATATAAATGGGCTATCATACACTAAAAGAATTTTCCAGTTCAAACCGGTAGTTATTGAGCTACGCGCAATTAACCTAATAAAAAAAAACTATTCAACTTTATAATATTATTATAGATACGTTATCAATCACCCACATGAACACCAAGACATTTTAACCGTGTTTATATTACATTCTTTTAAAGCGATGACAGTGTTGTTGCTATGGTCAGCGTAGTAGCTAAGGCTTACAATTAAATAATACCGATGATAAAATCCGTTACTACTACAAATATTCAGATTAGTTACAAATATTTAAGTCAAAACAACTTACAAATATTACAAATATCTTGGTATTTATGGCCCCACATTAATAAAAAGTAGGATTTTCTTGTTCTCGATTATTTCGTCTCGTCGTTAATTAATTTTATTCACTACAAAAAGTGTAATCGGCTCACGATTGAATTTACATTTTCTTCTGTAACACGGACTAAGGTGACTATAATTGAATCGTCTCCGTTCCGATAAAATCCGGCCTGTCCACGGGGACCAGCGCCCGCCGATGATTGGGTATTATGAGATTGCCGATCCGATACAAGATGCGCATTAAATCATCCGAGTAAGAACACCTTGGGTCTTACTCGGAATTGTTTTAAACTATATTGTTTATGGTACTGTGATTTATAACCCATAGTAGTCTACTCGCAAATTGGGTTAGAAAATTTATAGGTTTGATTTTCATGATATATTTCAAGTAGGAAATTATTTCGTGACACAAATGGTGATTAGAACTTTGATTTAATTTAATTTGTATTACTGTATTATAAAAGCAGTCTGTAAACTTTTCGATTTTATTGCATTGACGAAATTTTGACCACAGTTTGTCACAGAAGGCTGTTATGCTGAAACGAACGTATCTCAACTAAAACCAATCACCTCACCATCATCTACGCTGGTTTGTGTTGGAAAGACGGTGATTTAAAATTAAATTAAACCAGAGATATGAAAATGTAAGAGATGTACAGGATTCTAAAGCTTGAGAAATTTATAAGTTTGGGGATTTCCAATGCATGATGACAAATCTTTACATAAATAAATGCCTTTGATTTAAAAGTAAAACAAGAACTCTGTTTACTTGCACCTCTGGGCGAACTCACACGTACACAACATATAGTTTTAATATATAGATGACATTATTAGACCGTCTGTTATGACATTATATCTAACCGTTACAAAATTATTGTTTTTAAAACTTTACAATAGTAACGAAGTTACTTTTATAGAATTTATTTTAAAAATTGGAAGCCACCACGTAGCTCTACAATTAAAAAATAAGCAATACTATTAGTACGGTGATGTATAAAACCCTGTCAATCTTATAAAACCAACTGAGTTGAGAAAACACTGTCATTGAGGTCTATCATTGAAGGTACCTACTGCCCACACCTCACTGTAATGATGGATGGGAAGGGTCACATGATTAAGTGGTGTACGAGTCAATTAATATGGCAACACTTTAACATGGAATTGTAATTAGAGAGAGTGAGATTATGACCAAAATGTTATGTATGACTGATGACATTTGAACGATACCGAATGTGGGTATATTTTGATTAACCTATTCTCACTTATTTCTACACCACTCTAAGGTAGACTAGAAGTGAATATCAACCCCTGTGCATAAAGTAATAAAATAAATACAGTAATAAATCTCGCTCGTACACAAAATATATAAAAGTATTACATTCGTGGAAACGGGCGGTTGTAGATCGGCATAGGTATGTAATGGATTGGATTCATTTTACTAAATATGTAACTACGACTTTAGAGTCTACATAAAAGGAGATTTAACATATGTAATTAAAAAGAAATGAAATAAAGATATTTTGACTTTGCCGACTTATATTTTAAGACCAAATAATGTTTTGACCCAATATTACAGATATACCTCACACAATAGTACCTTTTTAAAGGTGTATTAAATGTCCACATTTGGCCATCTTAGCTCATTATCTTATTTAGTTCCACCTATAAAATAATCAGATAATGGGGCCGCAGGCAGGCTGAGTACTTTAGAGAGTTGGAAAAATTGAGGTAAATAAAAAGAAGGCCATATTGTTTACTGATGGATGGGGAAATGAAAGCAAAAACTAAAAAAAAGTAAAAGGCTATGGATCGATGTAACTCGAATTGGCTATTGCGGGAAAGTCCCTCTAAACTCCTCCAATCTCTAAAACAGTCCACGTAGTTGTCTTAGATTGAAAAGTTTTGTTTTTATTGCAAAATAAATTATAGTAAGTTAAAAAGAAAAATCATTTTATCGTAAAAAAGCGTTACAAACATTTATATACATACCTACTTGATATACATATGTACATACCAAGCTAATAAAAGCGTGTTTAAAATCACATTTCTTGTACAGTTCCACTTTAATTGTATTTTATTTTTATTTATTTACACCAGCAATTAAAATACACATCATATTAAAAAATATCCGTGGTCATGGAGAGTCATGCTTTGGCACAGGGCTGGCCCGACCGGAGTGTTTTTTTTTGTAAATCCGTGGCCGTGCAAAGCCTTGGTTCGACACAAGGGCTGGCCCGACCGGAGTTATACCACGGCCTTACAGGAAACTAGTATTAAGCAATTCTTTCGTGGTGTGTGAGTGACGTTACTAGAGCTCAACCCCTCTAATCCTAGCCGATGTCTCAAAGGCGACAATGACCTTGACTCTTTTGAGCTATAGGTGTCCATGGGCGGCGGCCACTTACCATTAGGTGACCCGCCTGCTCGTTTGTCACGCTTTACCATAAAAAAGAAGTTTTATCAAAAAGTAGGCAATTTAAAAGTTGTAAACGATTGAGACACACTGAAAAAGATTCCTCAAATCGAAGGATATATAAAAATCCATTTTAAGATTTTTTTACTAATTTTCCTTAGGTGACGTAGCTGTGCACTAAGCAAGGATTTAAAAAAATTTCACCCCTAAGAGTTTAAATGGGGGTTGGAAATTTATATGTACATCATCATTTTTGGTAGTAGCGCTTTCCAACTTACAGTAAATACTCTTTATGAAGAATAATAAAAACCGTAAATATATTATTATATTTATATTATTAATTTATTAAAACTACCCTGAGAAGGGGTACAAGTGTTTTAAGGAGAATATACCTATGAACATGACTCCTTATATCCTCTACGATATCTGATTTCGACCACCACGATTTCGACCAAGTCGCAGGCAAAAGCTACTTCTCAAATAAACTGTTCTAAGACAAGCTTGACATTTAAACAGTTTGCAAGAATTGCCAGTTAATTAGATCAAACGCGGCCCGATCGGCCTCTCACTCCGTATAGAGCGGATGACCTCCCTTCTCCATTAGCTTATTACCCTCTCCCATTATTGCGTTACTAATTTTCCTGCACATCGAGAAGCTAACGAAGTTTCTCTTGTCGCAAAGGGCACGTTTTGATTGTCAATTACTGGCTCCTGGACGCCGGGTGGCTGCGCAACGGACGATCAAAGCAGAGACCAGGATGCAATTAGATTTATATTATAAAACTTTGTTTTTGGAGCGCGACTATGTTCTAATTAATAGTTTAGGTAGCATAAAGTTTGAAAGGAGGAATGCAAATTCCTTTTTTTCTCATTATAATTATTTATTTACAGTTAAATCTAAAGATAACACAAAATACTAAGTTAGTATAGAAATAACCATCCAATTTTTTGAATGGGAGTTGGAGTTTTAAAAAACTAGTTGTCAGAATTGTAACAATGAAAGGAACAGAGTTGGTAAAGGAGAGAACCCCGAATCGATTTATGAAATAAATGAGCGTTAATAAATTTAATAGCAAGCTAACAGTACTAGTCATTCGATGATTGACAGGATTTACTTCAAAACATAATTCCCACTTTAGAAACTTCAAAAACACACGGTCACGTTACGATCACCAAGTCGGAAGATTTTGCATTATTATTGCATTAATGCCATGCAAGTTTTCCACAATGCCTATTTCTAGCATATTTTGTCTTCTGAAATAGATTTTTTCACCTTATATAATGATTAATGTTTTTTTTTAGCAGTCTGTATTCTGTTTTGATAAAAAATTAAAAACGTTAAAAGATGTAGGTCTGTTTATCATCGCTATATTGACTGCACTTCTTTAGCTTTACCTGTACAAAAAAGATGACGTTTAAACGTCATTTTGTCTACTATGTATTTTTGAGATAGTTTATTTTTATTTTTTTACAACGGTTTTGCGTATTTATATATTATTACAAAATAAGCCTCTCATCATGTCGGAGTTAAGTTTCAAAGAAAAAGAAGAAGATGTTACCGTTATATTTGAAGCACCGGCAGAAGTCAGTTCCGAGGAACCTTCAATGAGCGAATGGTCCTCATTGGAATCGCAGACAGTGATAGAAAAAGAGAAGAAGCTACTATTCGATCAGGGTCTATATTCTCCGGGTAGTTCTGACATATGCCCTAAGTATATACCGCAATCTGACAGCACAATATTGAGGCACCCATACTATAACTATCCAGCAGTTCATGACCCTGGCATAAAAGAAGCACTTCTCGTCCCCGAACAACAAATTGTGTATTCAGATGATGGACAGGCTTTATATCTACATTTATGTTCTGAAATGAAATTAACTCCAGTGAGAATGTTTCACAGAAAATTATTAGATTCAGAAATTTCTCTAAGCTACTATGGCGTAGACCCTACGGCTATTCGTGCTATGGCGATGGCTTTGCAGTTTAATAAGCATGTTCATGTTTTCAATTTGACTGACAATTTTCTCACTGATGACAGTTGTTTTCATTTGAGTCAAATGCTTAAGACAAATACAACATTGAAAGAACTCAACTTGACCGGTTGTCGCATAGGTACATCGGGGCTTATCAATCTTGGAGACCAATTAGCTGTGAATCGTACATTAGTAACATTGAATCTCTCTAGAAATGAAATTGGCGATGAGGGTGGGGTACACTACGCCAAGCTAATATCTGACGGTGTTACCGTTCAGAAATTGAACTTAAGCAAAAATGATTTGGGCCGACAAACTGCTTTAGCGTTTATGGAGGCCTTTGAATGGAGGGATCCACTTACACTATTAGACTTATCGTGGAATAGTTTCCTTCACGTTCCATCTACTGTCAAAATGCTATCCTCTTTAGCAAACAGCCAAGAATTACAAGAAATAAATTTATCATTCAATGCATTTGAAGGAGACCGTATAGCAGGTGCAATATACAATTTATTACTTATTCCTACATTAACAGCTTTAGACCTGAGTCATAACAGATTCCAAGGGGAAGCGATAGATATAATAACAGCAGGTTTGATTAGTGCAAAAAAATTGGTAACATTTAATTTGTCTTTTAATCCAATGTCACCTGAGGATGCTTACCGCACCTTAGAAAAAATGTTACGGCCGAGAGTCAAACTGCAAAACCTGCTGATGGAAACAGTGTGTGTGGATAAGTCTTTCTTAGCTTTAGTCGCGAGAGTATCAAAGATGAAATCTCGGAAAAAATTTAAAGTGATTTATGGTGATGTGTTGCATAACTGGGATGTAAAAGGTCCAGATGTAAGGACATTACTATTAAAGCGAGCCGAATATCTTAGTACGGTAAACAAGAAGAAACATATTGATATACTGGTTTATTTTTTAACTTTAAACCAGAAAAATAGCGCACCTATGCTACCTAAAGATCTATCAGACCGGCTAACTGAAGATGGGATTCCCTTAAGCAGTGATTATTGTGACCAGTTAGTCGAAGTTTTTCCTGGGCCGAGAATTCGAAAACTTCGGTCTATAAATATTCCATTACTATGTGAATATATCAATCGTCTTTATCCAAAAAAGAAGGTCCCAGAGCCGGAACCGGTCCCTGAACCGGTGGTCGAAGTAGTGGCACCTCCACCCTCCACTAAAGTCAAAGAAAAGAAACAAAAAGTAAAGTTTGTAAGATAACTATTTTAACTATTTATTTTGATATCATGTTATAATTTGGAGCTTTATTTTAAGGAATTTAATTTAATTATTTTTATATTATTGTATTACGCCTTCGTTGCTTCTTCCTTCCTTGTTCTTTTTTGCAACTTTTTGTTTTTTCCTACTTTAAACTATCTATTTATTTTTGATATCTTTCAAACATTTTATTTTGAAATATGTTTAATTAAGTAATTTTATAATTTTTATATTATTATGCTACTACGCTTTGTTACGTACACCAAAAAAGTAACTATTTACAGAAATTTTTTTCTTTAACTTTTTAATAAAAATATACAATGTTATAATTTGGTGTATTTAATACAAAACAAAGTAATTTTTTAAAGAATTATTCTATCTATTTATTTTGAAAGATGTTATGATTTTGAGATTTACATTAGATCTTTTACTTTATAGTTTTTATATTATTATATCGCGCCTTTGTTACGTACACCAAAATAGCTATTTAGAGAAGATGTTTTAATTAACTGTTTATTTTGATTTGGTTTTTTAAAATGTTGTTTCGTTTTTATAATATAATGGTTTTAATTATAAATGTTTTTATTCATATTTATACGAGTATATCTTGGTATAGAAGGCCTCACAGGAAAACAATTCTTTTGTTACTTGTCACTTGGTGGTTTCCAAACCCCCGTTTAAATTATCGTCCGTGTGGTGACGGATTAAGAATACGGAGTGCCGCCATCCCCATCCATACCGGGGGTGTCGTAAGACCCGACTAAGGGAGCAAACTACACAGGACAACATCACTGCAAAGAGAAGGAAAACTTGACACAAACCCTATACCAACCCGTCTGGCCAGCGTGGTATAGTAGGCCAAAACCTCCTTTCTAAGGAAAAGCCTATGTCCAGCAATGGACTATTAAAGGCTATTGATGATGATGTGATGACTGAATCCCTTAATTCTGGGAAAATTGGGGGGGGGGGGGACTCAAAGGGCGACAACGCACTTGTAACTCTCATAATACGACATAATCACATAACAGTCAACGTTGGATGTTTAATTCGACTACACGGATGGCGGAGTGGTATAAGTGGTCACAGTGCCGCTTCCTACTGCGTGAGTGTTCTGGGTTCAATCCCCACATAGGTGGGTGGATGGGTGTTCTTTGTGTCCGCTTAATGTATATTTGTGAAGTCGCCAGGGACACAGAGAGTTGTCTTTAAAAAAATAGAAATATAAAAGAAATAAATAAATACATTACAACGAAAATGCCTTGACAGTAATTTGTGATATCGAGAGAAGATCAGAACTGAATTTTGACCGAATTTTATGTCCAGAATGATGACCTTCTGATGACAATTTAATTGGATATTGGAAAGAGAAAAAGAGAAAGAGATTTTGCGTTAAAAATCTCTGATATTTATTGTTAATACATACATACACAATGTTAATACATTCAATCATGATTTGATTTGAGATTTATTATTGGCAATAGTTTTGGAAATTACATACTATCTGCATGTTGTATACCAACTGCTGAATTCTAGGTTCAATGTCACTAAAAGTCAAATATATATTACATATGCAAATGATTTTGTTATTATACTAATGAATAAGGCAAGAAAATTTTAGGTAACTTTTACATTTTCTCGAATCTTGAAGAAGTATGACAATTTCTATGGTCAAAAACACTTAACTGTTATGCCTTCTTCTGATATCACCTTATTATTGTGTAACATTCCAATCAAGTCTTCTTCACCATGTACTTCAGTAATGAAAGGATCACGAATCAGTTTCTTAATAATATAGATGAGACTTAAGCAAAGACACAAGATTTTCATCTTTACTAACATGGTCTTTGACTAACGTTATTATTCGTTTTTGTAATTTATTTCATAAGTGTGTATGACTTAGCAGACCACTTCGACTGCTTTCAGGGAATACCTAGTAGGTTAACCTTTTAGGGAAAACTAGAAGTAATCTGCGGATTACCAATTCAAACACAGAACAATGAAATAATTTTCATGCTTTCTTTTCTGAACATCACTGGTTTTTTAAATTATGGTGCAAGTCTATCACCGAAGAAATTTATAATAAATTATCTACTATATTACGCTAAGTCTACGTGACATTGTGTATATAACATAAAAAAAAACCACCATCCTTCAAATAAAATTCTCATAGAATTTTTGCCATCGGAGCTTATACGGAGCCCTCATTTAATGTATAAATTTCGAATCTCTATGCGAAGATCTCTTTTCTGTATAGGAAAAAAAAAGTTGATATCAATATCTTATCTGTGTATAAAAATCTAGTGATGTATTCAGATTATATTGTTGTTATTAGGTTGTCTATGTTGTATGAAAATGATATAAGTACAGCCTTATGTAAGTGAGTGAACTTAAACAAATCTAATTTATGTCATTTCCGGCCGGTCGTGACGTCCTTTGGTCTCGCCTGAAACGGTTCATTTCCGTTACAGCAAAGACGCGTGATGCCTTTTTATACTTATCGAGTTTTGATTAGAATTGTTGAGGTCCGTAGGACAATTCAGTAAAGTCGAGGATTATAATGAATTGCCTATTGACTTTAGCTGATTGTTGTTTTAATAGGAAGTGATCCTGACTGCAAAGCCTAAAGTCGTTGCCTGTTCGGTTCACGAATTCCAAAATCACGATGTTTTGTGTCTGGGTGTAATTTATTACTAAAATATGTCTATTCAGTAAATAATACACATAAATAATATTAGCTTGCCACAATTCTCTCCCTCTCTCTCTCTCTCTGCCGTGTTTAAGAGGTGTCAAGTGATTATTATAAAATATCGACGTTAAAAATCCATCGAAAAGAATGACGGCAAAAGTTGGACTTTACCGTTGCAACAGTATCAACGCAAAAACTTTCAAATTGTTTATATCTCTAAGTTATATATATTATATTATATCTCTAAGGTATATCAGTATGTTTTATATCCATATTTTCCTCACTTTCGTCAAAAGTTCTGATTACTATTAGTAGTATTACTCCTCTCTTTATTCGTATTATAAATGGTACAATATTTAGATTTGATTCATAACGTCGTGAAAACAACATTTGTACTCAGAGAATGTAGAGATGTGAACCCTTCAATTAGCAAGCGGCAGGTGTAAGCGTAGTGCTATGCAGGCCACTCGAGTCGTCGAGCCGGCATGAGTCTACCCGAGGCACAAGGCGTACGATTGTTAACCATCTATTATGCGTCGAGGGCTCTACACACCGAGTTAACCCGTAACCGCCGCCGTGGTAAATCTTGAATAATTTCACGAGGGCTTGTCTTATGGAGAATTTAGTGTTACGCAGCTGATCCACGATGCAGCGTACGATTATTACGTGACAAAATACTAGACTAAATATAATTTGAATTTCACAAATCATCATCATCATCATTTTGTAAATACCCCTATTTAAGCAAAGTTCTTGTCGAGGGAATGTTGAATTTGGATCACTTAAAGTTATATACACTTAACACATGTCTATATACTCGTAAAAGAAGTGCAGAAAGCTAACTTTTTTAAATAATAAATTTAAAAAAAACGTTAAAGCTATGTAATTGTATCTATAATGGTACGAAAAGTCTATACATAGTTATTAGATAGTTGAAGTTATACTAGGAAACCAAACACTTAGATTAAATTTTAATATAAATTTGACCTCCACGCAATCTCTAAATCATGAGGACCTTAGACAAGAAAGGCCATGTATAAATTTAAGTAAGGTAGGCGAACGTACGCTACAAAAGAAACTGTTTTTTGCCAAACGAATCAATTATGACAAGTATCAATATGAACCATAAATAACCATCACGACAAGTGTTTTAACCCACCTATATATATTTAGAACCCAAAAAATGAGCAAAAAAATTTAAATCTTCCAAATTTGTAAGCAGAGTGTGTAGTCGGACCTATCTACGGGATATGGCGGAAATGTCAGGCAAGGCGTGGCGCCGCGAGACGCACAATTACCGAGGCAAGAGGCACTTAGTGCCGTTCAAAGCACAACCGCGACACTCTAGGCATGCACCGCGTGTCCTATTTTGTAGCATGGCGCTCTGGATAGGATAATTGCATTTATGGCTTATGGATGCCCCTCAAATTTAGTTAAGGCCTTAGTCAAACTTCTTGAATTGTGTTTTAGTGACTACTACTATCAAAGATGCGATAATTTGGAGTGCAGTTTGTAACTTAATCATGGCAGAACGGCTAAACGGATCTGAATGTAAATTTGCACAGAGGTGGATGATAGTCTGAATAATAATAAATAATAATAAAACAATTTTATTGAAGAGCTCTTCCCAAGTTTGATACAATGGCAGAAGTACATAAAATCGAAGACAGTCTATTACATGTTACAAAGAGTGATGGGCGTGTCTACAACCGAACTAGGTTATAAACCTGTATCTCAGCATGAAAATAACGAGAATGGAACTGTTAGAAAAACCTACTACTAACAAATAAAGTTGATTTTAGTATGTAGAACGAACTTTAAGCAAATTATGTCTTAAGTCTTTTCTGTACGACAGCGTCTAAATGATTATAACAAAATAGTGTAACGAATAAACGAATGGACTTCTAGACACTTAAACGACTATCAAAGATAATAAAGAGTAATAAAGTAATTAACGATAATTAAGATGATCATAATTATTCAGCATAGGCACATCGTTATTTTTTAAAGGACAACACCGTCGTATAACATAATAAATTACTATAAGTAACGGAATCAAACAAACATAAATAAAAATCTATTTGATGATGATAATGTACGTAGATGAAATGACTAAGAATTATATTGAAATGTTAATATGTAATTAACTAAAATGCTTCAGATAAATTCTAACCAATAAAACTTTAACTTCAAAAGCCTGCTGTAATTGTATCACTGAAATTCGTAAAAGTTAAGCAAAATCATTCAATTCTTACTTATAGATTGCAAAATTGAATTATCATCCATATTTTATAGGAAACAGATAGTATGTATTAACATTATGATATAAATACTCACCGCCCCCATTCTTGTAGCAGAGATAGGGGAATCGCCAGACGTTGGCGAGGTCGACAGCGAACCCGATGACGGACAGTAGGAAGTCCACCTTCTTGCCCCATGTCTCGCGCTCGCCGACGCCCGGCGTAGGCGTCTTCAGAGACATCCTACTGCCCAACGTCCAGAAGCCGCCACACCCTGGACAAAACAAATATTACTATTAATTTTAAGGCTCTACACATTTTTGCTTTTGAACCATGTATAATGTACTAATGTCTATTTTTTATTCTTATAATTTATTGTTGATCTTGTCAACTACACCACTACTCTAAGGCAAGAAAAACTGAGATTAATCTTCCTTAAAAAATCATTAACATGTCGATACATTTAGATAGTGCTATTTTTTTTTTAATAATGCATTGAGTATTCGACTCAAGTACATACTTCGAAGTTTTTAAATCATTGATAAGATGACTCACTTTTAATGCGTGTTGATTACTACTTTCGTCTGTTGCTTTTAAAGGTCATTAATAAATCTCTGATCTGTTACTGACATTTAAAAAAAAAATTGAGGGAAAAGAAGACCTGTGCTGTATTCCCTCAATAATTTTTTTAACTGTACAAACATAGGCTATAAAAGCATGGTAGAGAAAGGCGTAATAATTCATAGCCCCAAATTGACATAATCATAGACATAAATTGAATTTAACCGGCATGTTGTCGAATCACCGCGAATATCCGCGTGTGCCTGGATATCGCTTAAATGAAAGATTTACAAAAGGTGGTTCCCGGCTGTGGTTAGGCGCTAGGAGGGGCCCGGATGTCTTGATAAAAGCTGTTTCCGGATTCCTCCTATTCAAAGCGCACAGTGGCACATCGTATGGTTTTAGTCAATTTGATTCCTACACACTGTCCCATGGCAAAACCCCCGAGGGTTTCCATTTAAATAGCATTCTTCACATACCATACATCAAAATAATCGAATCTGTTAATTCGAAATTAAGATTGAACAAGGTTTTTAAATCTCATACGTATTATAACAAAACATTTTCAAAGTCTTTAATTTATTTTTGTTCCACTAAATTATTTATTTCATTTTTTTTTCTTTTTTTTTTAAAGACAACTCCTGCACTATGAATGTAATCCTCTTTCGCGGGGGACTTGATAAACATATGAAACGGACACAAAGAACAGATAAGAAGAAACAAGAAAAAGAACACACAAGATAACAGTTTGTAGATCTTACAAAGTGATGTCCCACTAGACTACAAGTGAGTGTAGTAAGGACTCCGCCATCCATGCAGTAATTTTAAAATATATATTATATGTAAGTCCTCAATGCGTAGTTATAATTGATTCGTCAGTAAATCTTTTAGAGAAGCTACAGTACTCGACCTTTGATCTGCGGGTTAATTGACCGGAGCGAAATAATCGCGCTGGCACGGTCCTCCATTACGGTTGGGCATAATGAAGTGACAATGTTATAACGCGCGCCGTGACAGAGGGTCCTCTCTTCGCCCAACACGCTGACCGACCGACTTTACCTAGGGTTGACCGCACTTTGGAACAGTACGATTTGTTAGTTTTTTAATTATTTCCTCCATCTCATGGTATACATTGAGAACAAACACATGGTATACATTCAGACAACATATCGATTTTGTAACAGTGTTTTTATTGTCAATTTGTAAGAAGTGCTTATTAGAAATATTTAATTAATAGGACATTATATGTGTGTTCATAATATTTTCTTTTAAAAGTGGTAGTCGTGACTGAGTGGAGTGAAGAGATTCAAATGTCTGGAGGTGGGTATAAACTAACCTAAACTGTAGGACTTAGCTACTATTTCATGTTTAAACATATACATGTTTAAACATATACATATACTGTTAAGTGTTGTAAGGGAAACCTTATTGACCATTTACATCTACGCTATCAGTAGTCTTTTAATTCATTTAACCTGTATTGTAGATAATATATTCAGAAATAATAATTGAGGTACTTTAATTTGAACTTTGAACTTAAAATTTAAACTACTTAGTTGCATGCAACCTGTATCAATATCTTATAAACTATGGGTAAGTTCAATGAATTACAGAACTGTGTTAATGCCAACCCTGGCAATATCGTCCAAAGCGTCCGAGTGGCTGTCACGCCCAGCGGGCCTTCGATTAACTGATGGCGATTTTGCGACGAAAAACCGCTTGTCACCGTACACCACTAGCCGACAAATTGGATTCCGAACGATCGACATTCATTAATTGATTTCAAGTAGTTGTAGATGCATTTGTCCTGCACTTTGCGTTGTGTTGGTTTAAATTAAGAATTCATTTACCAATAAAATATGTTACTTAAACTCAAGGCTCAATATATAAGTCTTAAGTGTTTTAGTGTGATAAGTATTGTAAACCAGTGATCTTTTTATAGTATCACGTAAATATAAAATAAATGAGTTCAAGATGTATGTAATATAAATGAAAATTTGTAGCACATTTTTGCAGCTTTGGTTATACACCGCTTACAAACTTAGGCTCAGAACACCTACGCTTAACGCGTTGGTTTCAATCACTATTTTTAAGATGCGACAGTCAGACGGTTCGTCTGATGATAAGTAACTGCCGCCGACGTTTAACGCCTGCAACTCAAGAGTCACGAGTCAAATCAGGGGGAGGAGGGCTTTGGGCTTCGGTGGCCTCACTCACTCGGTGAAAGCAACGAAAGAATTGTCAAAATACCACACCACATCCGACTCAATTGCATGTACATAGATAGAGTGATAAAAATTGCAATCATTGTCAAACATGCCGCAATAAATAAAAATACTAAAATCATAAGCTTAGTTTAAGCTATGATAAAACTTTGATACCATCAAATTGTAACATATACACTATTTTAGGAATACTCTTTCAAGAAGCAATCCACTTGGAGCACGTGGGAACCAAAGAATTCAACCCCTAGCGTCTCGTCTCACCTCTTTGCCAATTAAATTTCAAATGACACATCATAAATGATTCATTCAAAATGACAACCGTTTCTGATTTAATTCGTTAAATTTTGATATTATTTACCTTTCCTAGCTTTGCCCTCTCCTGAAACCAATACTGGTTCTGAACCTCACATTCAAATTAATCACTTTTAAAAAGAAAAATAAAAAGCCGTGTGGTGTCGTGGGACACCCGATAGGAACGAAGTTGTGACGATCGAGTAAAACTGATTTGACACGATTTTAATTACAACACCATCTATGAAAGCGGCTATTACCTACATATTAAAAACAATTAAAACAATTTATACATTGGTAAAATCTCCTTGCGAAATGATTTCCTATCTATTCGATAGATGGCGCTGAATGTCTGACAAGATGACACGAAAATAAAGAGCAAAAAGCCAACATCACGTTTTATTCCCAGGCGGTCACCCATCCAAGTACTAACCACGCCCGATGTTGCTTAACTTCGGTGATCGGACGAGAACCGGTGTATTCAACATGGTATGGACGTTGGCGAACGTTATGGTATCCACAGTTAGACGTCAATTTATATTAATAAAAAAGTGTCGTTCCAAATTTTCGTACGATTTTTTTCCGTCTAGCCCCCTTTCACAACGCGCGATAAGGAACTTCGTTCCAATAAATATGTTCCTTTTTAAAAATTTGCTGCCATCCCTTCAAGCTGCATTTTAAGACTCTTGTCCAAGTTAAAATAATAGCGGCTTCGGAATGGGTATCATTAATAACATATATTTTTCAAATTTATCGTCATATAGAAGTATCTTTTAAATGACAAAATATAATTCCACTTCTCACATCTCTGTATCGTAATAACTCGGTTTATGGGGTTTACGGCACATTTTTGAGATACATTTCTTCCTCGGTTAGTTCTTAATAAATAAGCTTTAAATTCTTTAATGAAACAAGGTACAGTCGCCAAATTTCGTCTCCAAGCGCTTCTTTTTTTTTAAATAACGCCATCTAGTTCTAATACCCCAAATCTAAGTTACAAGATAGATCCTTAAAAAAAAGTAAACCGACTACAAACAATACTAACAAAGAGCACTAAAAACCTAGCAGCAATCGCGGTTGATTTGCTGTCATTTTTTGAAGATGTCCGTTTTCTGTGTCCGAAACTCATCATCAGATATATATGAAATTGAATTGAAACCCTTTCGGAATAAACCCCTTTCGAACAAAAAAAGAATTTTGAAAATCGATCTACATATGATCGATTTGTGCCCGAACACGAACATACATGAAAAATACATATATATAAACATCCGAATTGATAACCGCCTCCTTTTTGAAGTCGGTTAAAAATCATTGTAATGAAGGATTTATATTTAAAATCTATTGCATTTAAAAGAAATACTTAGTTCCATTTATCGTGCTTAATTTTTCTATTCAATATATTACTTTTGGTGTCAACTACACGTACTATTTGCAAAACTTTTTTACTACTTAACGCCATTTCGAAAGTGGTTCATTGGTTTGACGTTAACAATTTGCTTTTGAATGGAAAAAAAACTAAGTCTATACGGTTCAGCACGCCAAACGTCAAGCCAGTGAAAACCACTGTGATGATGAGATGTAAGGATGTCGAGCCTAACCTTGTGGATACATCGACATTTTTAGGAATAACATTAGATTCTAAGCTACAGTGGGGCCCGCATATAGATAAATTATCAAGTAAACTTAGTACAGCAGCGTACGCAGTTAGAAAAAATCGAGAATTGACTGATATTCATACAGCAAGACTTGTTAACTTCAGTTATTTTTATAGCATAATATCATACGGTATTCTACTGTGCAGGAATGCTGCCGACATTCAAACTATTTTTGTGCTGCAAAAGAGAGCGATTCGAGCAATTTATAATTTAGGCAACCGTTGTTCATTGAGGCAAAAATTTAAAGACATAAACATAATGATAGTGGCAAGTCAATATTTATATGAAAATGTAATATATGTTCATAAAAACAAAGATAGCTTCTTGAAAAGAAGTGATGTACATGCTTTTATTACCAGAAATAGAAATAGACTTGTTGCCTGCCTCTAGGCTCCAAAAGATTTACAAGTCATTTCGAAGTGAATGTGTCCGATTCTATAATAAAATCCCAAATAAAAAAAAAAAAAAAGAAAGGAGATTATTAGTACAAACAAATTTAAATCCACAATAATTCGTAACTTATGTCAAAAAGCCTGTTACTCATTTTCCATTTTTTTATGTTTTACTTAACTGTCTTTTTTATTCCATCTTTTTTCTATATCTGTTTTTCTCTTAATTGCCTTTTTAATTTTTGGTCCTTAAAACTTACATACTGGCAAACAATGTTGTGTATATTTATTTTTCATGATGATTGTTATCTGTTGATTCAAAAGAGTGGCCGTGAGTTTATTTGCCCTTTCTTCTCATGAGGCTCAACCCCTTGATCGGCAGAGGCATATAAGAGATTTTCGATACGTATATATTTAGTTTGCTAAATATTTGATGAAACAGTGATTGTTGCTATTGTGTGTGTTGATCTATGACTTTAGAGTCTACACAAGTGATGATTTCAAGTTTTTTTTAATGAAATAAATATTTTTAGATATAGATAGATTATAAATAAGAACTTTTGTAGGTTCGTAATTTGTGAACGGCTGGATGGCCATCGTTATCTTTCGTTATATTATAAGTTGATCTTGATATGTAAAATTAACATTGATGCCTGCAAAAATGGCGTAGTGGTTTAAGCGGTCACCTCGCCGCTTCCTACTGTGAGTACTACGATGAGTGTTGTGGGTTCGATCCCCACATGGGACGACATTTTGTGTGATCAACAAATTGTTGTTCAGAGTCTGGGTGTCCTTTGTGTGCGTTTGATATATGTTTGTAAAGTCCCCGTGACACAGGATTTATTCCTAGTGCGTGAGTTATATTTTAGAAAAAAAACCGTTTTCTTTAAAAAAAAAGAAAAATGTCTACGAAATAATGATAAAAGTTTTAAAAACTAAACCGCAGAATGCGTACGTTAATATTGGTTAGTTAGTTAGTTAGTTAACATTGGTTTAGCAGTTTTATTTTAAAATTCAAAAACCAAGAAATCCTATGTTTTATTTTAATGTCGTAGTATGGAGTTCACTTTTGGAAAAATCTTATTTTTACTTTCTATTTTATCCGATTCAGATTTTTAAATCTACCCCTTAGTGCAGAAAATTAAGGAATGAAGATTACAGTTTATTAAATTTCATCAAGATGTAGCAGCATTGAAGTCGGTGAAACTTTTTTAAATAAGAGTAAAAATATTTTCTCAAAACGACTTTGGAAGAAAATTAGGCAGAGCCTGTACTATGGTAACCAGACTGTAGATAAAGTACACCCGGACACAGAGCAAATTACCATGCTCATAACACAATTACCTGTCCTGGGTGGGAGTCGAACCCACGACCTCTGGCATAGCAGTCAGCGTCGCTAACCACTAGACCAACAGGCCAGTCTAATGAATGTTCATAAATTCCCTCGCGACACAGGATATAATCCTAGTGCGGGAGTAATCATTTAGAAAAAAACCGTTTGCTTTTATAAAAAAGAAAAATGACTACGAAATAATGATAAAAGTTTTAAAACCAAAACCGCAGAATGCTTAAGTTGAAATAACATTGGTTCCGCAGTTTAATTTTAAAATTTAAAATCCAAGAAATAAAAAGGAACCTAACTTATAACCTCCTCTATAAGGAGAGCCAATGTCCAGCCAGTGAACTACTAAAGGCTGTTGATGTTACAGAAAAAAAAGCAAGACAAATAAACGAATACTTAAGTATATAAAGTTGTTACTTACTTGCGTGCCGGCGGGCGCAATAACGGCGCCATGTCCGCGCGGCGCCGTGCCTTGCCAAGAATGACGGGAGCTCGTCTTGTCCGACTGCCGTTGGGCGGGACGACACCACGCCCAATACTGCGCACTCAGAAGCACACCCCCTGAAAACCATACCGAGATATAAAATGGAACATAAATTGTGAAGAATAATTTGTAAGATTTACATGAAAATCTGGTTCTCCGTATCTATGTATATACGGTCCGTTTTGGTTTCGACACAATGAACAAAGAAAAAGATGGCTCTCTGTGGCAAATTCATGCAGATTAGATTAAATTTGGAAAAGAAGAACAATTATATATATGTGATTGTTTTATTATTCTTTTGTTACAACTTTAGTAACCCTCTCCAAGAACTAAAATCTGAATAATATAGAGGTATTATAAATTAGTAAGTCAAATTGCATACGTAAATTAACCGACTGGGCTTCTATGAATTTTCATGGTAATGGGGGCAGGCGAGCAAACGGATCACCTCATGGTAAGTGACAACTACCACCCAACTTGCGACTTGAGAGTCACAGGTGCCTTGCCGCCTTTTCAGTGCCCCCCTCCAGATTAAAGAGGAGAAGGGGGTGGACCTCGGCACAAGTGAGAAGGCTCCTATGGAGAGATTACACGGCCGAACCCTAAAACTAGTGTTAGGCTACTATCTATATGCTTAGGTTGCCCCATGGCATTGACCCTGGCATTGACCCTCAATACTCCCCATTTATTCTTAGAAACGAAGGCAAACTCAAAGGCAACTCAAAGTAAGGCAACGCAATTTTGTCTCTTGAATTATAGGTGTCAACCCATCTGCTTTGTTTACATCTCCTTCGATGGCCTATGTCCCCTGGGAGGGACAGAGGGTGTCCACAGCAAGTCTCCGAACAAGAGATTCCTTAAGAAGTGTGGGCTTGCTGCTTCAGTCAATGGTTCCATCGCATGCAACATCGGCGCTTTGAATGGAAATTCTTCTTCTATTATAAAAAATAAAAATCTATTACATCACAACTTTCAGTGTGAGACCCGTAGTCATAAGCAACTTACAAAAAGAAGTGAAACCCCACCAAAAACATTTTTATGTAATATTTTGCCAAGACGAGGCTTTAAGGCTCGCACTGTCAAAAAGCCAAAGCCAAAGTAGAGCCAAACTTCTAAATCTACACGCCTTCTCTACTACCGCTGATTGGGATTCTACTAACTATGTAAGACCTATAGCTTCCCGATGACTTGTAACTGATACAAATGACGTCGATGTCTTTGTAACAGTTTCTAAACGGTACATTTTACATTTAAAATATACCGTTGCAAATGTAAATTGTAAGCTCATCAATGGTGATATCATTAACATTGCCATATCTGGCAAATTAAATATGTATTTAATTTGCCAGATATGGCATTGTAATGATATCACCATTGATGAGCTATTGATACTACTTCGATAGTCTATTGACACTGTGTCAATAGACATTTATGTTAGTAGAATACCGATATTTTGACCAATGTCAATAGCAACTCAGTTGCATCTTGATAGCGTGTCAATGGAATGACAGTGGCTTGTACGCTAACATGAAATATCGAAATTGAGGCCCTGGTAGTTAGCAAAACTTATGGACAACGTTGGTTATGATAACCCTTTGCCAGCCTTTGATCAACCGCCTTTAATAGGCCACTGCTGGACATAGGCCTCTCCTTAGAAAGGAAGTTTTCGTCACTATTGACCTACTATTGCTACTTTTGCGCGGAAATCTCCTTGGATATCACCACCAGATTATTATTCATTAGAGTTCACATCAGACTAAATTATGGCTATGCTAAAATTGCTTCTCTTATAATGAAACGATGCTTATGTACCTAATATGGTTGATGAGTGCAAAATTATGAATTTCTTACTTCCATTTTCTTCCCGAGAGTCAATTTAGCGTTTAATGTCACAGGTAATCGCATACTTACTTTCGACATCCTCATTATGAAAATTCAGTCAATATGCCATATGTATGTACTTAAAGCTGGAGCTTGGGATGTATTTTATTTTAGACAGGAGCTGACTGGTTGGGCGGGGGACATCGCTGTTTGATAAACTGTATAGTGACAAATTGTTTATTGAGATTATTGCTACTTGAAAATCATAATCATATGTGGAAATGATTGATGAATTAATTTCACGTGTGATAAATCAATACTGTGAATTTAGTCATAGACAAAGATAAATGCCAACAAAATCAATCAAAATTCTTAGAATCAAAGTTGTTTTTAGATTTAGACCTTTCGCGAGTGTTTTGTAAATAAGTCACAGGTGTGATTATATGATTTACCACAGATGATTGTGATTTTATTCCATCCCTTAAAATGTTGAATATTTTAGAGTATAGTGGGCAAAGAAGCAGTCGCAAGAGTGACAAGTGAGTTACCGGGCTTTGAGTGCCCCCAGAATTGGGGGGACGGAGGGCTAGAGTTGAGTTGAATCTCCGTGTACCGTATTCCCTAGGTGGAATTCAATGAAAGAATAGCTTAACACCTCTTTAAGTTAATCCCTCTTATACTGCCATCTTCTTATTCTTGTAAAAGCTGAAAGCACGTCGGTATTGTACCAACTGGGTGAAGATCGATTCCGTAACCACTTAATGTGGCTGCATGGTGTGTGCACACAAGTGCCTGAAAACCCCCACCTATTATGTTCTTTGAGAGATTTATAAATAGTATTTGTTTCAAACAAGGCCTCATCTTTAATATTTAAAGTTATAATACGTAAGTTCATACAGAAATAGGTATACAGGCACTGACCATTTCATCAAGTATACTTATTAATATAAAAAATACAGAAAAGATTTAGGCTCAAGATTCAAAATGTCTTTAGACTTCGATAATATATGATATAGCGAGTAATTACAGTCTACTTTTCATAAACTAAATGTAAGTAATCAATTAACGTTGTGTGGGCGGGCGCCCTATATCGCGTTAGGCGGCACTGAAGAGACCACGCCCCGTCCCTCCGCCCACTGATCCTCAATCTCGATGTGTCGCTCCAAGAGTGCACTTGTTAGCAGAAGAATCAAAGCTAGTCTACTAGCTAGCTAGTCGAATAGTCGTATTCGTCACTGTCAGTGAAACTAAAATTATGTCCCTGATGCACGCAAGCGAAATGTAATCAAAAGAGGTTCTACTAAAAGAATGTAGAAATTTACGAAATTACATTTTATTTCGTAAAATTCTAAAATTTTGCACAGGTTTTGTTTTAGAGATTTACGCTAGCCTTATTAGCTTCTTCCTTCTTTCTGCTACATCTGCACAAGAAACAAAGAAAATTAAATGTTGTCCTGTTATAATTTTATAAAAGTGCATTAGAGTTTGTTTGTTACTTTCCAATACTTCACTGATCGTCGTAAATTTTAATATGTAGGTTCACCACCTATGGCCAGTTTTTTAATCTCAGAGACCAAATTGACACATGCAAATGTCAAATTTAGGAAGAAAATACATGATCCCAGCTCTTTTTTGCAGTGGTACCTACGATACCGGTTTTTTAAATCACAGCTTTTTATCTTTATTAAACGATTAACTTTATCAAATGTTTAAAGGTTTTCGTCTTAATTTTTAATAAATTAAGAAGAGAAAGAAAGAAAGCAAAAATAAATAATTGCAAAGGAATAAACAAGTCATTTTTATGCGCCTGAATGAATAAAATACCTGAAATTAAGTCATTATAAATATTTGTTTCATACTATATATAAATATCTATCTTACTAATTTTGTATTATTACGTTTTAAATAAGTGCCTGCCTGCCTACCTACAATTTTTTTTCAGGATAATTTATTAAAAAAAAGGATAAATTGATTTTATTAACGTTTTAACGAAATTCTTCCAAATAAAAATTTGGAAGAATTTCACATTGCAAAAAAGTGGCAAACCCATGTAATGTCTATTTAGTCCCTAGAATTAAAAAAAAAGACAATAGAAATACCAAACCCCTTTTATTATAATGTTTTTTTATTGTGTAGGTTTCAAAGAGGCCGACGCCCATCTCTTGTTTTTAAGGATTGAAAAAGGAGTACTTTAGTCTGAAAATCAACACAATCAAGAAGGGGAAGACCCCTTCTTAACTATGCTGAGGTTTCTTTTCTCGATGCCACCGAAGAACTCTGGGGTAAGAACGGTTGCAAAACGTCTGTATCCGCTTCATATTTGGCTGGAAGGAAACAACTAAATTGGTGACCTATTCGGCGGCGTCGAGACCTCCACATTCTTTCCTTACTCCATTCAACTTCATACCGCCCTAATCCTCCTTCATATCTCTGTGAGCGCTTCTAGCACTTTATTCCCAGGAACAATCCCTGTCGCTCTTCTTCTTCTTTCCTCCTTCGAACTCCTTCCCACACTTCGAGTCGTTATGACAATTTCTTTGGTATTGCGGTTGTTCGGCTATGGAATGTTTTAACGCATGCCATAAGCAATAAATGTGTAATAAATATCAGTGTGGTGCAGGAAGCGAACCATCATCTGTCCCTACGATACTCAGACCTTTAGTATGTCATATATATATATATGTATGTAGATGTATTTATATCCGTAATTATGTATGAATGTTGTATTGATGTATTTATATGTATAATATATTTTACTGTACAAATCAAAATCGAGTTTGGTTTTATTTATACACTTTTCTCTAATGATTCCCAAGTACACATGACTGCCTTTACATTTAAGGTTTGCTGGAAGAAAACTCAGTTTTGGGTTAAACTCGCCTTTGTACACGACATTTCCTTGTGACTTATATCAATAATTATGTGTCTAGTGTGTATAAAGAATAAATGAAATGAAAAATAAGAAGTATGACAGAAACAATGATAGAAACATTTAACAAGTTTATTCACTGTTCTGTGCTGCCGAAGCATGGCTCTCCCATGAATGCAAGTTTTGGAAGATGAGTTTATCTATAAAATTATGTGTTTTTGAAGAAGCCTGCTCTTTTATCTTTTATCCTTCTGCGGATTTGTTTTGATCTATTTTCATCCTTCCTCAAAGAATTTGCTTATTGTGAAACCCCTTTTTAGAAGTTTTTATTGAAACGTCCATACACTTTTAAATGTCTACAATTACGTTGAGTTTTTGCTAACGTTTTCGGTATGGTTAAGTTGGGAGCATAACATTGAATATTGGCAAAGTGCCCCATGTTTAAATTATTATTACTCCGTCAATTTTGGAACAATTTCTTTGTTTTCAGGAAATGGGAAAAGTTATCCAAGAAAATGGATCGGGAAAAGTATGATAAAAGCTCTGTGGAGGAAGAAGAAAGAAGAAAAGTGAGTGGGTTCAGTGTTTACAGTGTTTCAGCTGGTTACACAAAGACTGTATTAAACATAAAGAGAAAATGCAATAAGTGTGAACCAAAGAATAAAGGAAAAGAGAAAGAAATAAAAGTCTTTAAAGTTTTTGATCTCACATCACATCACATCAACAGCCTTTACTAGTCCACTGCTGGACATAGGCCTCTACTTAGAAAGGAGGTAAGGAGGCCTGCTATACCACGCTGGCCAGACGGGTTGGTATAATATATATATATATATATATATATATATATTTTTTTTTTTTGATCTCAGTCACTTTAAATTATATTTTAAAATATAACTGCTATTTGGTTTTTGTTTATGATAGGAGAGATATCAACGAATTCTATACGCTATATAACATCACGATACATCTAATAGGAACCGAGCATCAACGAAAAATGTTGCAAAAACGGAGCAAATTTATTCCTTTTGAAAGACCTACTACCGACCAACTAAACTAAAAATGACTGGATTCTATAACGAAGCACAAGCATTTTATAGATCTAACTATTATAGTATTATGTTAGAAACAGGGGCGGCCTTTGGGGGTGGCGAGCAGGGCAACTGCCCGGAGCCTCGCTAATGCAGGGGCCTCGCGCGCTCACGCAACAACCCATCCCGCTTCGCAACCGGCCAACGCGCTTGATTTGCAGACGTTCATGGGCGGCGGTTGTCACTTTCCATCAGGTGACCCGTCTGCTCGTCTATAAAATATACCATAAAAAAATATAATTACGGGCTTTGGACTTAGTGTCAAAACAACATTGAATTGTTTGGTTTGATGTTAACAATTTGCTTTTAAATGAACAGAAACTAAGAGTATACGGTTCACCATTCCAAACATCAAGCCAGTGAAAACCACTGTAATGTTAAGGATGTCGAGTTAGACCTTGTGGATACCAAGACATTTCTAGGAAAAACACTAGATTCTAAGCTACAGTGGAGCCCATAAATTGATTAATTAACGAGTAGACTCAGCTCAACAGCATACGCAGAAAGATAAATCCGAGAGTTGACTGATAGATATCAGAACGACTCTTTTACTTTAGATATTTTCATAGCACAATGCCGTAAGGTATTGAAGCTATTTTTGTCAACTCTTGTAAGTATATTTACTCAATTTTAGTGCACCTAATCACTCACTTCTACAACACCCTAAAGCAGCGAATGTCTATGGCATTAAGTCCACCTTTGTACATTGTGCATTAAATAAATAAATAAAACTACAAGGTGTGCTACTCTGTGCCTGAAGTAAGAGGGATCAGGGAACAGCTGTTATTAAGACATCCGAACCCCTCCTAACGCCTAGCGCCGACGCAGTTTTCACAATAACCTACTACTCAGGCATCTTTAGCCCAATCTAACCCTGTATTTGAAAGAAACGTTATGGTAAGTTTTTGACAAAATGTGTAAATATAAAATTAATATCTTTTTTAGGTATCATATTAAATGGGCAACGAAGTGCGACTTCGTAAGCGGTAGATCAAAATTTACTCAGTAATAAGGCGTTTTATAAGAAAAGCATACATTTTGTACCATCTTCGACAATCTAAGCTACTTAGAATTATGGGATAGCTTAAAGCCTGTAATCGCTTGGACACTTGGATTCAGTTTAATAAAAAATATACTAGATGGCGTTAGTAGCTTTTCTTACTCACGTTTTCGGCATTCTCGTGTTTGATGGAAAATAATAACATAAATTATATTAGTCTATTTTTACTTTGTAATTATTACATTATAATCATCTACAATAAACACAACGTCATCTAATATGATCAAAATAGTGCATGTAACTTATATATGAGTAAATGAAATCTGAGAGATAAAGATGGCACTAGATGGCATTAATACTGTTTCGCTATATTTTCGTTTCGTGATGTATATGAATTTCTGCAGACATAGCCTATATAACTATATAACTTTAACTGAAATTTAAATTCAAATACTACTCAAAACTTCTACATGTTTTATTTTTGAAAAAAGTTTTGGCAACATTTAAACTGGCCACACTGAAACTCTACATTGATTGGTTGTTGCTAACCCATTACTATATTGCGTAAACCAATCGTGTAGCTCCAAGCACACAGTGTAAAAATGTCGTCGTAAGTGTAGTAGAGTGTCCGACAATTTCATATCGTTTATTTAACGAAAGGCAGTAACAGTTGCACTCGTATTTAGCAATATTAGCTATCTAATTCATTGTATATTTCCATTCTCCTGCAAGTACAACAAGTATTGCAGGTACGCTTAAGATTTTTACTTTCTCTTCTCAAGACCCATGACAGATGATCCTTGACCAGTGTTTTTTGTATTTGTAAATAAAAACAAAGATGTTGAATATTATAAACAGTGCTTGCGTCGACGGGAAGGAAAAGTGATACGTTGACGTAATCACCTTAATTATATTGTTATCCGTGAGGATATTGAAAGACTACAAAATATAGAAACATGTAAAAAAGTTGTAGCAGCTATACAATTTTTATCAGATGATTTTTGCGTAGATATGGGCGATGAAATGGATCCTTGCGAGTGCCTGTGGAATCACGAGTTGGCAATGCGTCGTCTCATCTCATTGGTAAGTAAATGACCTTGTACTGAGTAATAATAAAGTGGGTGGCACTTCCACGTCTGCAATTTGATGTTATATTCGTAACATCTTTTGTTGCTATTCGTGTTTACCAACATTGTTGGTACACGTTCTTTTTTCGATGTTTAATTAATGGCCCAAAAGTACTAATATTTACGATGCATGTTTATTACAATATTCATCAGCAGAGCACGAAAATTTATCTAATTATTATGGAATTATCTTATATGTATATCATTAAGAAGAACTAGCTTTAATGGAACTATTTACATGATAACAAACCATTAAAAGCATATTTATTAATGTGTCAATCATAAGCTCTGTAAGTGAAAAATAATTCAGATGCATTTTGAAAATAAAATCATTATTTTGTCCACATTCCAATAAAGTGAGTCAAATACACTATAAATATAATCTACATAACATTTCTTCGTTAAATAAAAGTTTATAAGTATTACCTGCCTTTGCCTACCATAGCTTACAACATTCAAACTAGGACTATTTATATAGTTATTAGATGTATATAAGTTAAAAAAGAAAAATCATTTCATTGTATACAAGCGTGGGGTGCTAGATCTCAATTGTTGTAAAAATATTTTACTGACAGATATTGAAAAGCATCCTACACTTTCTTTAAATAAAATTATTTTTCTTTTTGAAAGTATAGAAAATTATTTCCTACTTTTTAGTTTGGCTAACTACAAAAGCGGGTTTTTTCAGTAGTCAAATACACTATAATTTATTTTTCCCTTTTTAGTTATTAATAATGACTATTATCTTATTAAAACTAAAAAAGTACCAAATAAGTTTATCACATATGCTTTAGCACACCTTAGTACATGACAAAAGATGCTACTGTTAATCCTGAAGGTCCATATCAGCATAATGGGACAAACTATTTAAATTATTGCATTGTAGTTGGCCCTTGATTAGTATACAAAGTTCCAATTTAAATTGACGGTTTGAAGTGGCTCAAAATCATGTTCAAAGATTCCGTTACATAAATACCTAGCCAATAAAAGCATGTTAATTTTGTATACAAAAGAAACAAGTAATAGATGAAACAACTGATTTACATATATAAGCCAAAAATTATAGAACTAATCACTATTGGTTATTACAACTACTGAAATACATGGGTTACACCCACTGGAGTTTTATCTATAAAGTTATGCTTTTTTTTAAACAGATTATAACCTATTTATGCCACAAGGACATTGAAATCCATTTATTCCATTGTTTGTTGACTTTTTACTTTATTCATACTTACACTGCTCACTGCTTAAAAATCTTTAGATGCTAGGAAGTAGAATGAACATCAAGGAGTATGTTTATTTTAGTTAGTATTTCTAATAGTAAATTATTAACAACAAACATATACACCCAGATATATCACCAAATATCCTTCTCATCACTACACTTGCATCATTATTAAAATACAGTGACAGACTTAATAACATCATAAAATTAAATATCTTTTGAGTATAAAATAACTGCAGTGTTTTGAATATTCCCAAACTCCATTTAGTGACATTGAATAACTTTTTAACTTTTATTGCCAGTATTGAAACAATATTATGTAGGTATTTATATTGCTAACTGGGTTTATCGCTTCTGATATACCAATTAGTACATGCCACTTACCTAACAGGGTTTTGTGAAAGTAAATTTTAACTTCTATTAATTTATTTCAGTAATCTTATATAAATAAGTTTTTGTTTGTTTGTTTTATGCATTTGCACATGCATTATGTCATAGCTTTCATCTTGTCATACAGCAAATCATATGGGAGATCTCATTCTCTTTTCCATATTCTCGAAAGCTATTTCATGCAGAAAAAATACCTAAGGAATAGAAAATATCTGTGCAAAGCCACATACAAAAAATTAAATTAATAAATCACATAACCCATTATATAATGGATTGATAATTTTTTATTGATAATTGTTGAGGAGTTCTCCAGATACTCCATCACAGAGGAGCACAACTTCGATTCAATTTTTCCAGATCATCAAATCCTAAGCTGATGACCATAGGTCCACTTGACAACTAAACAAAATAATAATATTCTCCATCACTCGCATCGTCATTGAGTTACAAAGGAATATACATTTAAAAAAAAAACAGATTCGGTGCTAATTAAGTCTTGCCGAGTGGTTGGGGGAGGTTCTTAGTATTATTTTTCAAAACGATGCTATAAATTATACTACGATATTTTAGGTAATAATGCTTTTAGGCTTTTTACAACTCATCGGAGATTATTCAGCGCGATTATAACTAGCATTTTGTATGTAAGTAGGTCATGCTAATTAACGCGGCTGTATATAGCCGAAGCGATTACATTATAATGTATGTCTTCTGATACGGATCCCTGTATTTGACAAAATTAAAATGCAATTTTTTTCTAGCTTTGTCTTAACAAACAAAAACAGAACAGATTAAATCTCATCATCATCATCATCATCATCAACAGCCTTTAATAGTCCACTGCTGGACATAAGCCTCTCCTGAGAAAGGAGGTTTTGGCCTACTATACCACGCTGGCCAGACGGGTTGGTAAAGGGTTTGTGTCAAGTTTTCCTTCTCTCTGCAGTGCTGTTGTCCTGCTTAGTTTTTTCCCTTAGTCGGCTCTTACGACGCCCACGGGATGAATAGGGGTGGTGACACTCTGTATTCTTAATCCGTCACCACACGGATTAAATCTATATGTACGTAATATCTTTTTCAAAATAACGTATTGTTCATTCTTGCGAGAAAGTTGTCCTTTCATGGTTTTTGAAACGCACATGTTTTAACTTTTGTTTCTGTAAAAAAATGGTGATGAACGTGAACTCGTAACATACGATCTATAGGGTGCGCTATAATACTCATAACGTATTAAAATTGTCAATTTCTTAAATGTTCAACAAGTAAATTCATTAATTTACAACATTATAAAACATTAATACTTAATAGAAACATACATACATGAATCAAAAAACAAAAAGGCATTGTTAAACAATATTCAATCACAATAACAATCAAGTTAAAAGATAATTATTTGAACTGGACGCTGAAGGAAGAAGCTTTCACGTAAATATAGTGGTCACTTTAAAAAAAAAAAAACAAAGCATAGAGGTCCCGTTCTGGACAAGTACCTGAATATAAAATTTAGACATAAGGTTTTCTTACATGAAATACAAGTCGACGTACTTTTATTTAACATACCAGTAATAGATCGCATTATCAAAGCAACTTACTAAGAATAAATAATAATTTAACATTTAAACCTCGAAATCAAGACCATCACTTACCGGAGAAAATAGAGATAGAAATTAAACGGTGTTCGAACATGTAAGACGTTTTGGATAGCACAGCTCTTCAGAGTCCCTCTTCTCTTTTAAAATCGTTTCCTTGCAGTCTCCAAGTTTAAGGATCTCATAGAGTAATTTAAGTCTAGTTGGTACTAAGCTTATATATTAACCACACACATACGAATGTGTAATTAATATTATTATGTATTTCACGATGTGCAATAAAGTTATCCTATATTTTTTATATTATACAAGCGATATACATATATAGATAAACGACTGGATGGCGTAGTGGTTTGTGTAACGGACTGCTATTCCAAAGGTCCGGGATCGATTCCCGCTCAAGTCAAACATTTGTGTGCATGAACATTTGATGTTTGATTTGGTCTGGGTGCTTCTATGTATAATATGTATGTATTTACAAAAAAAAAAGTATATATGTATTTATATCAGTTGTCTAGTACCCATAGTACAAGCTCTGCTTAGTTTAGGACCAGATGGCGTTGTGTGTATGTGGAAAAAATAATAATGATAGATATGTCACACAGCTAGATGTCGAAATCATTGAGAGCCATAGTAGACCATCTGATAAGATTACGTTGAAAATGTACCACTTTTGGCTATCTACATACTTGTGCTATTATAGAATAAATATCATTGAAGGTCTTTTACTTATGTATTTCGAGAATGTGGGTAATGAGCTATTATGTCTCACAAACTTGTTAAAAGTATATAGTAATCGTTTCTATTAAGAAATGAGCCGTACGCCAGTATGTAAATAAATATGTCAATATTTTATTATTGAATGTTAACGACAAAAACACGGATATTTTTCTTATATATAATTGCACGCTATCTATCTACTCTCTACTCCAAGTCTCCACTTTGTGATTTGAAGTGTAAAATAAGTAATATATCTACCAATTGATACTCAAACAAATTTGTTTTAGGCTGCCGTGTGAAGAACTTGATTGAATTGTTGACACTGTTTTTTTAATTATTATTAAAAAGAAAAAAATCCCCCTATCACAAAAAAATACGGTTTTTTATGACTTTGATCTAATTGCTATGACGGTTTGATCTAATTTCTAATACTGCGCATATTTCTATATGGATCTCGATTTAGGAGCCGTCCAATTTTATACAGTGCGCAAATATGTGCGCAGTTATAATGCTCACAAACAATGACAATATTAAGACAAAAGAAAGCAACAGACACTCTCCAAAATGCATAAAGTCATCTTTGTCACTTTATGTATGTCGCATCAGATATAATGTATATGTCGTTTGCGCACTGCGACGCCATTATTGTAAATTATTAGATAATTTCAGACCAATTCGTAATGGAAATAGACTCATTTCACCACTGTTATATTTTTTTTGCATTGTCCGGGCAACGGGTATTAAACAATATTACATGTTTACAGCTAGTTATAATTCGAAAGTCCTTTCCTTCGAAAGAACTGCCAGCTGTCTTTTTTTCCTAGTTCCTATTTTCTAGACAACCTATTTATAATTTTACTTCATCTAGAAATCGTATTCGGACTATAACACATAAAACAAAAGCAGTATCTAATCAGCTCAACGTTTTCGAGTTAAACGCTTATTCTAGAGTTGTTGGTTTTTTTTTTACTTTTTATATATTATGTTTAAATGTATACCTACTCTATAAAATATTTAACATTGCTTAAATATTAAACATGCCGCCTGTTTGGCGTACGAATGTTTTCAAAAATCAATAGTGATTTCGACCTTTTCTATTCCAAAAATCCTTAACAAATAATACAATGTGTGTGTGTGCGTGTTATGTACTTATAATCACGACATATTCTACTTTTAAAAACATTAAACCAACTAAAGATACATGTTTAACTTTATTTTACATTCCAAGTTCAATTATTCAACAGGCTGACATAAATATTCGAACAGACAATAAAAACTTATTTACAAACAAACGCAGGAAATCGATTTCACCGACATTGAGAAAATAATTAAGGGTTGTCGTAATAGTTACATAAGATGTATGTACTGTTAGTGGTCATGAATTATTTACTCTAAGTAACGTGTAAAAGTCTGCTAAAATGACTGAATTATTGTTCGAATATGAGAGTATATATAATCTCGTTAATTGGTATAAAGGATGCGCCAGTAGGTATTTGATTGCCGTGCCTACTTTTGGCACAGACTTCGAAGACCGCTCGCACGAAAACGAAGAAGTGACCTTAAAGTAACTATTATACTTAATACAACATTTATAAAAACAATCAGAATGGTGTATCGATTCAAATTAATCGATAACATGAGAGATTTTCATGAGAACTCTCTAAAGGATTTTGAAAAATGTCTCCGTTCGATTTTGTATTCATTGTTACAATACAATCACGACACAAGTTACCACATAGCCAATCAAGTACATTGCCTAAATTGCTTGCCAACTGTGATTATTGCAGCTACACTGGACAGTCAAGGCTTTGTATCTCAGTAGAAATTACCTACTTGACGATTGAATTATTTGTAATTTTAATAATACAAAATGATGTCTTTTTTTATACGTGACGTTTTTAGAACGTAAGTAAATTATGCTTCATTAGCGTTCCGCCCCGGCTTAGCACGGGTGCAATGTAGATACTACTAATGTGGTGTCAGTGTGGAATAATTAAACTATTATTACGATAAGACTATACTACAGGACATCTTTAAATTCAATATTTATAGACCCGCTCCGATCCTGCCGGGCCGCTACTGCCACCTCCCGTCCCGTCCCGTGGGACGTCCGTCCCAGGTGGCAGTAGCGGCCCGGCAGGATCGTTGGGCCCCCGTTTGTTTAAACCTCCAATAACTTCTAAAATTATGATATGCTGTAAAGAGCAATTTAATCTACATTAACTGCAAAACGTATCTAACATATTTAATTGGATAAGGAATAATAATAATGTGAGATAAACAGACTAACATTGCAGACTTTTTTGTACATCTATTTAAGATATCCAATTCCGTAGTACATTATTTTGTTCTATCTCGTAAGTTTTAGCCACCAATGTAAGCGCATAAAAACATGTTTTTATACCACAAATCTTAGAAATTCTTGGATATTCTCTACTAAAATATGCATTTATCATACATATAAACCTTCCTCTTAAATCATTATCTCTGTTTGTGAAAACTGAAATCCGTTGCTTAGTTTAAAAGATCTAAGCGTACAACACAAAAAAGCGACTTTGACAAAAAAGCGAATTGTTTACTATGTAAAGAAGATATGTACCTACTGAATACTTTAGTACGAATTTTCTGTTACACAGCTTCGTCAAGGCCAGTCTTACTGCACGGATAGCGAGTGCCTGGAACAACTGCCAGGTCTACCCAGGCCAGAGTCATCCGCGAACAACTTCTTAATGATGTTCCTTATGATGGCAGTTGCACTCGCCATGTATGCGATGCGCCCGCGCGGCAACCAGATACAGGATGCTGCGAAACCTACGCAGAATTCTCAAGTAAGCCTTTGGATTTACATTTCTAACCCTACTTAATATGTAACCTGACCAGAGTAAGTCGGCCTGAGGCCGGATATTTACTTCGTTATTCAGTCGTCGGATCATTCATTCACTTAGTTATAAGCATCCAGTTTTGCATTAGTAACATATTAACATATAATAATAAAACCTCACCGACGGCCGTCTGATTCTAAACTAGGCAGAACCTGTACAATGGTAACCAGACTGCAGAGGCCCAAGTGTGAGTTTATCTTAGACTTACTTAAATATTTCTAATACATGTTATATATAAATTACACCCAGACACTGAACAAATTATCGAATCATCCCACAAATATTTGTCCTGGGTGGGAATCAAGTCCGACGACCGACGACCTACGCCTTAGCAGTCAGGGTCACTAACAACTAGACCAACGGGCCTGTCTGTTTATCTGGCCCATTTTTAGGTCGAAGAGATTTATTCTTCTTTTTATCCACTGAGTTTCGGATATCGGGTAGGTGCGTTGCAATATCATTTTTAGTCATCATCATTATGATTCTTTTTATTCACTTGTTATTTGTGTGATGACTGTTTCCGATTTTTAATCGAATTCTTTGTCTGCTTTAACATTGGAAACAGATAACACGAATTTTATGTTAAAACATCGTTAAATTATTCTTCGTTATCTGTAACCTAGTTTTACAGAAGAGCAACTTTTTTTGTTTAAATTTGGAACAAGCGTAGAACGAGACACAAAAATAAAAGGATAAAGTTAGACTAGGAGCTCATCCTGGAAGCCGCCAGGCCTGGGACCCTGCGCCGGACAGACCTGTCGACGTGGATTTCGACCCAGTGGTTCCTGGAGGCCATGACCCGCGTCTGCGATACGGCGATGCCTAGGGTTTAGTCCAATTCTGCGAGGCGCCTGGTCTACTGGTGGTCGCCGGAGATCGCGAGGCTGCGACAAGCCTGCGTGACCATGCGCCACCAGTGGTCCAGATTCCGCAGAAGGCGTCGCCGCCCCGAGGATGCGTCTTTTGTTCTTTAATGGGCCTCGGAGGAAGCCACCTGAAGGATCCAGCCTCATAGTAGGAATCACTCGCATCGGCATCGAACCTTCGGAATCGATTAGGTATCTGGGGCTCGTACGCGATGTAACTTCGGACATCATTTCCGAGGCGTGCTCCCCAAAGTGGTTGGAGCAGCGCGTGCATTGGCGCGGCTGCTACCCAACATGAGGTGTCCCGATTATTCCTGCAGGAGACTATACTCGAGTTTTGTGCTTTACATGCCCCTTGCCTGAATGCCAGCAACGTCACACTAAGGAGTGGGGGGAGGTATATGCACGGACTTCCTTGAGGCGGCGAGTCTACTGGCCGGAACTCCACCGTGGGACCTGCTCTGTATCAGTTGCGGAATTAGGTGGGAGTCCTGAGACTCGAGAAATTGAGGACCAAAAGTCCCTACTCCGCCAGGTCCTCGTGGAGGAATGGAAAGAACGACTTGGGCAACCGAGCGCCGGGTACGCCGTTATCTCGGCGGTAAGACCTGTTATGGAGGATTCGGTCGAGAGCCATGGTACGGTGCGAGAGTGCGTGGAATTCCGCTGTCTCCTTCTGCGAGCAAAAGAGAAATGGTGAAGCGGACCGGCCCGCCAAGCCCTGGAACGGGCCAGGTACCGTCGACTTCTCAGGCGCGCACGCCCTTCGGGCAGGAAGGGAACGTCGGGTTTCTACACAGGAGGGGAAATCTATAAGCGTGTGGTGACGGATTAAGAATACAGTGTCAACACCCCTATTCATCCCGTGGGTGTCGTAAGAGGCGACTAAGGGAGAAAACTACGCAGGACAACAACACTGCAGAGAGAAGGAAAACTTGAAACAAACCCTTATACCAACCCGTCTGGCCAGCGTGGTATAGTAGGCCAAAACCTCCTTTCTAAGGGGAGGCCTATGTCCAGCAGTGGACTATTAAAGGCTGTTGATGATGATGATGAGATGGCCCGAGGTAGGTGGGGGTTAAAGGCTTTCCTTTCTAGGGTATACTTGGTTCCTCGGCTACTGATACCTGGAGATGGCGTGCGGTTTTTGGTCGTTTCGAGTCCGACATACCACCCACCACACTGGTGGGTATGTCAAAGGGTATTAAGGACTACAACAGCCGTATACCGTCAGACAGCATGGCCGTCCTTAAGGCACCGGAGGGGAAACCCAATGACCTCTGGTACAGTCTTCGAATGCCATCAAGCATTGGAGCAGCTTGAAACAACAAATGGGGTGCTATTGCAATTTTGGGGTGGATTAAAGGGCATAGTAATTCACAGGAATGACGCTGCAGATGATTTGGCCACTGCCTTAACCAACTTTGATCCTGGGTTAGACAGCGTACTCGTGAAGCGCACACACGAAGATGGAAAAATTCACCCGCCTGCAGACAGTCCAAACTTGCAGACAGACAGACATACCGAATAGTTGCAGGAATCATAAAATGATAAAAAACGACAGGAGAAAAGAAGGATCTCGAAATTCTAATTTTGCACTTTATATCATGCATTCTTGTTTGAACTGCTATCTTAACTTAATAACTAACTGTAGTACCAAATAACAAAAAAATACCTTTATTTTAGTCGCAAACCAATGAGGTACCTAATCATTTTTTAGCGACTAAAGGTTGTTCAAAAAGTTAAACTGACTTGTTGGATACTGTACACGTTTCTGAGTCATGACTTAGTATAACTGGGTTTAACATCAATATCATATAAAATCATCATCGTCTCATCTCAGGCGAAACACATCCACTGCAGGGCATAGGCCACTCCCAAGGTTTGCCACAACAACCGGTCCTGTGTTGCCCGCAATCCAAGGCTACCCGCGACCTTCACAAGGTCGTTCGACCTTAACATTTTTTTAGTACATTAGCAGCAAGTTTAGGCGTTGATTTACCGTCTTAACATCTCCATAAAACGTAAATATAAGCTAAAAATAGCAAATGTGTTGTTTCTAAAAAAAAATTGAAGGTCATTGAGGTGTTTCTTATTGTTATAGATTGTTTCACCTACGCAGACATAATAATATATCATAAGACAAACATATTTGCCATAATGGGCTTAGAATGGTTATTGTTTTGCTTCATTTATATTAAATCTGCGTCTTTTATCATTTCTAAGGTCTAAACTGACGTGTCCTTCATCATCATCATCAACAGCCTTTAATAGTCCACTGCTGGACATAAGCCTCTCCTTAGAAAGGAGGTTTTGGCCTACTATACCACGCTGGCCAGACGGGTTGGTATAGGGTTGAGACGCTCTCGGATCATCTCTATATCCGATTTGAGCTCTCCCGGACCCAGGACTCCAGTAGGGGTCACGTGGCGCGGCGTTTATCCCGCTTTCCGCGGTGGGCTGTTGCTAGACTGAACCGGGACCTACTAGAGGAGGCAGCCATAATTCACTCGTGGCTGTCTCCTCAGGCTCCGACCGAGGAGGTCGACGTGGGGGCTGGCCGCTTTCGCGATGCGATTACGCATATCTGCGATGCGGCCATGCCCCGCATTCGAGGTCGTCGGCCTCCAAGGAAGGAGGTCTACTGGTGGTCCCAGGAGCTGGCGGACCTCCGTGCGGCCTGTACACGTGCCCGGAGGTCCTACACGCGCAGTCGGCGGCGTCACCGTGGAGACGGTGAGGAGGACCGGCTTCATGAGGAGTACCGACGGGCGCGGAAAACTCTGAAGCTGGCCATTAGCCGCGCCAAAGAAGAAAAGAGACAGGAGATGCTGGAGGGTCTTAATCGTGACCCCTGGGGTCGCCCTTACCGCGCGGTGCGACAATAGCTCCGCGCGTCGGGCCCCCCCCCCTTACGGAGACTCTCCAGCCCAGCTTCCTGCGAGAAGTGGTTGAGGGCCTTTTCCCACAACTGGCGGAACACACTCCCCCGTCGATGGCCTCCCTGGCCGGAGACGACGGGGAGCACGGGGAGGATAATGTTCCGCCCGTCCGGGATTCGGAGGTAGGGGCGGCTGTTCTACGGATCCGTTCCAAGAACACCGCCCCTGGGCCAGACGGGGTACCGGCCCGAGTGCTGGCCCTGGCCCTCAACCACATGGCAGACCGCCTCGGGGAGGTGTTCGACGCTAGCTTGGCGTCGGGACGCTTCCCTGAGTGCTGGAAAAGCGGGAAGCTGGTCCTATTGAGGAAGCCGGGACGGCCTGCCGATTCGGTCGCGGCCTATAGGCCCATCGTGCTGCTGGACGAGGCGGGCAAATTGTTTGAGAGGGTTCTTTCTGCCCGCATCGTCCGGCACCTCTGCGAGGTGGGCCCCGATCTGTCGGACGCCCAATTTGGTTTTCGGGCGGGGCGTTCGACAGTCGACGCCGTGTTGCGCCTGAGGGCCGTGACCGAAGAGGCCGTGAGCTGTGGCGGCGTGCTGTTGGCGGTGTCATTGAACATCGCCAACGCATTCAATAGTCTGCCATTCAGCTGCATCAGGGAAGCACTCCACTATCATGGGGTGCCAAAGTACCTGAGGCGGCTAGTGGCAGACTATTTAGAGGAGCGTACCGTCGTGTACGAGGACCGAGAAGGTAATTTGAGGTGTCGGCCCATGTCGTGCGGTGTTCCACAGGGGTCTGTTCTTGGACCCCTCTTGTGGAACATAGGGTACGACTGGGCCCTTCGCGCCGATTTCCCCCCCGGGCTGGGTGTAATCTGTTACGCAGACGATACACTGGTGACAGCCCGGGGGGCAAACTTCCAAGAGGCGGCGCGCCTGGCCACAGGGGGAGTCTCCCTGGTGGTCGGGCGCATTGAGGCGCTGGGCTTACGGGTGGCCCTAGATAAGACGGAGGCCCTGTTATTTCATGGGCCCCGTCGTGGTCCACCCCCTGGCGCCTCAATCGTGGTCAACTCGGTCCTCGTACCGGTTCGGGCCCAGATGAAATATCTGGGCCTGATCCTCGACGGGAGGTGGCTCTTCGACGAGCACTTCCGACAGCTTGCTCCAAAGCTGGTCGGCGCTGCGTCTGC